CGGGAAAAAACTGGTTTGTATATATTCACCATTTAATGGCTTTGTATCTATTTATACAATGTTTATATATTACGGAATATCTTCAATAATTACTGATATTTCATTGTGAATAATTTTACAGATAAAAAAAAAATTCTTAATGTCATCCTTCCATTCTAATATTTTTACAGTTATTTGAAATTAATGAACTGATTCTAAATCGCAAAGTTCAATTTTTTTGGTAACATTTTTATTACCTTAATTAATAGACTTTACTAGCAGTGCTTTCATATTTTAGTATTAGTATACTGTTAAACTGTATAAGGCATTCCTGTTTAAAACAAATCATACCACCTTCTGCTATTGTTTTTCTTTTCTGTATGTTTAGAGAAAGAAACCAGATTCAGGACAAGCCTCCTCAAACCTCAAACCTATCCCCAGCTGAGATAAAAAACAAACTACAGGAAGGGTCAAGGGTGGACCCACTTTGTCAGCATGCTGAGCTCTGCCAGACATCTTGCTGAAAGATTCAGCCAATGACACGACTCTGAACTGATGTATCTTTGGACTTTCACAGAAGCTCCTGAGCATGACAGGCTGACATCCTTAAGATTTCATCCTAACCACAATCATAACCAACTTCTTCCTTTGGAAGTTGAACAATTTTTCACTATCTCAATACAATTATTTAAATAGTATTTAAGCTCAGTGTTGGAGAGAGGTCATGTTGATTTCAATCTTTTAGTGAATGATTTAATTGAACATTTTGAATGTACAGTCACTGAAAGATGAGCTGTTTACAACTTTACAGTGAATCTTTAAGGTGGGATCTCTCACAATATTCTTTGAGAGTTGTTTCTTGGTGGCATCTACCTTTTTTTAAAGAACCAAAATAATCACTACATCTAAAAGTAAAATAGAAAAGCAAGAGACAAGACAAAGGTGTGTTTTTGTTTGTAGCTCTCCTTACCTCTTTTGGAAAACCATCTATGTCGGCATGTACTAACTGGCATTTGACCAGTAGTTTCTAGATAAAACTGCCTTCCCTGAAAAGTTCAAGTGGTCCGAAAGAATGTGGGGGCTGGACGGAGGGAGGCTGTTGTGTGCAGGAATCTAAGTTTGCATGTGGTTTCATTGGGAGCTCTGCCAGGCATAGGGGCAGGTTTTTTTTCTTTCCTTTTATTTTGTTGGAGGGGCAGATGGGTGGGTTGAGGGGTCACATTGCTCCAGAGTGGGAAAGTTCTACCTTTCATTACAGTAACCATTAAGTCCACATATCCGCTCCACCTCTCTGACTCTGCAATGTTTCCTGATTTTTTTTTATGTTAGCAAATGATCCAGTCCTCCTCCCCCATGTTCCAAAACTAAAGATAAATTTGTTTGTGAATGCTTCATTGTGTTTAATGAAATGTGAAATAACTTTGTATTGTGACAGGAGCAATGTACAGACGATCACTAAATAGATAAGGTGGGATTCCAGAGTTGCTTTCAGTTCATAGAGGATTATTTTAAATACTGCTTTAACTATAACATCAGATGTCAGGTTGGGTGGAGGTTTGAAAGACCGAATGCAGACATCTAAGGGTTTTCAACAGAAGCAAAAATCCACAAGCATAAATCCACAAAATATTGAAATCCAGAAAAACTCACATGGAGGGTAAAGAAATGATCATGAGGAACCAGCAAACAGTGACTTAACAGGAGGTGTATATATGGGAGACAAAAACAAAGACCAGGCTAATCTGTAGATTGGGAGCAGGTGTAGACAGAGGAATCTAGAAGGAAGCTATGGGAAAGGAGACTGACACAAGAGGGCAACAAAAAATACAAGAACTCAAATACAATCAAAAATAACTACAATAACACAAAACGGGGATAAAACCAATGAAAACTGAAAGATGGGACTTGAAGAAAACAAAAACCATGACACAGAGGCTGCCTGTTAAAACTAAAAACAGAAATGTGCAAGGGATGAGATCGCTGTGCTTTTTAGTAAGTTATCACCTGCCTAAAGAAGCCATGTCTGTTATAATGCTTATTTTTTAATTTACACATTTAAAGGTTGGTACATTTTTCATAAATTTATAAAAACACTTAGCCCGTTACAGCAGGATTTGCTAATGACTATCTTAATTTTTTTAAATATATATATACAGAAGGTAGAGTAAGGCCTAAAAGTTTTAACATTGTGATTGGGGAGTCAAACCTCGAGATGGTGAGGAGAAAAGCCAAGTAGTAGAATAAAAATGTTAAACCTTTTGGAGAAGTACAGTAGCTTTTAAGGAGCAACAGTTGGGGAACAAAGTAAGGAGCATCACCAGCAAATATAAATGAAAAGCAATGCATAAGCTGTGAGTATGTATTTTTTATGAGTACCTGCAGAAGGTAATTTGTATTTAATTACTGAAACATCACAAGGTTAGACCTAGTGTGAGACACACTGTAAATATAAGAGGCTGCCTCGATCTGCCAAAACCAAAGATGGACTGGTTGAAACATCGCATTAGCAAGGCTTTTTTGGAAATAATATTTCCCCAACTTCATCCATTTGTCATTAAAATAGCCTTTCTTTGTCCATGTCTCCACAGCATGTTAAATCACTAATACTAGTTGACTTGACAGAACATTTAAAACTTGCTCCATATTTCTCAGATGTGTCTCTGCTATTTTGCAACCTCTATGTCATACATAATATTCACTTTAGACTAAATTGTGTTTAACCTGGTTAATGCAGTCTTGTGAGAAAACACGGCTAATCAGCCTTTTCTTCTTGTGACATTTCAAAAGTTTTCTTGAAATTGTATGGAAAAACAGAATGTGTAGACTTGCAGGCATTTTTCTTCACATGCCACTGTCCTGTTTGTTCCAAGAAAACCGAATCACATTGGACTGAAAGCGGTTTTGCTTTTCAGTCACACTGATTTGGTGTTTCAAACTCAGAGAAACATTCACTGTGTCTGTAAATTTGCTGGAACATAGTCATTTGGCTGGTACAAACTCTTCCAAGAGGAACAGATGCCTTGATATTTTACCCTGATCAAAGTATTTGTTGTGCTAAAAACAAATAGTTGTCTGCTAATAAGGATTATGATTGAAAACAGAATATCTGTATAGTCAGTTAAAGATATCAGATGCTAAAAATGTACAAAAACATGGAAGAGGCACATCTGAAATGACTGGCCACAACTGTTGCAGCTAAGCACAAAAAAAATGGTCTAGATTTTTTTGTATGACTACTAGATCAGGTATAAACCAGAGATGTCATACCATTTGTGTTATACATGTCTTTGACCTCTCTGCTACAAACCGCTTGATTATCAGACCAAAGGGTATCTTGGAAACCAGAAAAGGCAGTATTACATATATTATATATATACTATATATAATATATTATACTTCATATAATATATATTCTAGATTAACAGCTGATTTCTCAACACTGGGTAGTCCATGTCAGAAGTTTGACTTTCATTCACATCAATTTTCTATAAACATGAATAAAAAAAAAAGCCAAGATGTACTTTCAGCATCCAGAAGATGAAGAAATGTGATTTATATCTGTCAAACATTTACATTATATTTGGTAAATCAAAATACAAAAATACATTTTCTTCCGATAATTCTTCAGGTAGCTAATCATGTCCTTTTTTTTTTGTTCAAAGTAGATTAAAAAGATGTTTAGAGAAAGCATTAATGCACAGTCTTTGCAATACTTCAACTGTTAACGTTCCTATTCTTGTTAGACTTCCCTCTCCCCAGCCACTTCTTCCAGCTCTTCAGGAGGAACCCCAAGGCGTTCACAGGCCAGCCGAGAAACATAGTGTCTCCAGCGTGTCCTGGGTCTTCCCCGGGGCCTCCCCCCGGTGGGACGTGCCCGGAACACCTCACCAGGGAGGCGTCCAGGAGGCATCCTAAACAGATGCCCAAGCCACCTCAACTGGCTCCTCTCGACGTGGAGGAGCAGCAGCTCTACTCCGAGTCCCTCCCGGATGACCGAGCTTCTCACCCTATCTCTAAGGGGGAGCCCAGCCACCCTACAGAGGAAACCCATTTCGGCCGCTTGTATCCGCGATCTCGTTCTTTCGGTCATGACCCAGAGTTCATGACCATAGATGAGGGTAGGAACGTAGATCGACCGCTAAATCGAGAGCTTCGCTTTTTGACTCAGCTCTCTCTTCACCACGACGGACCGGTACAGCGCCCGCTTCACGGCAGACGCTGCACCAATCCGCCTGTCGATCTCCCGCTCCCTTCTTCCCTCATTCGTGAACAACATCCCAAGATACTTAAACTCCTCCTACACCACCTGTACAAGTTAAAAGGGGAAGCTACTTTTATTGAACTATGTTAGGTACATAAACATGGTCAGGAAAACATCTAAAAAATTTTAGAGGGAATCATGCTGTGGGCTCACAGCCATCTGTTTTAACACATTAGAGCCATAGAGCTTGGATGAGCTTCTCAGACAGCAGTCTTGGTTATGAAATGAAGCAGCAGGAGCTAATAAAACAAAAAAATTGACATTTCTGCAATAAGTATCATTACCTCCTTGAAATGAGGAGGTATTGATACGGACAATTTATCTTTAAAACAGGAAAACACAATTGCATTGCCTTATTTCAAGTGCATATGATCTAATTATCTTATTTTAAGACTAAAAACACAAATTCCTTATTTACCTACTCAAATTAATGGAAAATATACTACATTTAAGACATTTTTGCTCATTTTAGATCGTTTTTGGAGTGTATTCAGAAACAATAAGGAAGTTACAAAGTTTTTCTTTATTCAACAAGCTGCTTAATGGTTATTTCTAGGATGCATGCCGCAAAAATCGATTGAAAGCAGGTTGCAAATCCATCCTTTGCTTTCCCCCCGCAGCTTCAGCATGTAGTTGTAAAATCAGTACCACATCTAGCGCTGCTTTTTTTTGTCCCGCTCCCAGGGTCCGATGGTGGGTGGATAAGTGAAGTCACATGGTCACTTTTCCTTTTTTCCCACACAAACACACCCACATCCTCCTCCATGCTGCCGCGCTTCTTCCTCACTCCTCGCACTGAGAGCCGCAGCGCGCAGTCCGGCTCCTTCTGGATCCTGTAAGCACAACTTGCGCCTCACGCACTTTTTTTTTCCTCCTGCGTTTACTTTTTTTCCCATCCCAATGAATCCGGATCGACATTAACAGCCGCGCTGTTGCTCTTTATCCCAGCCTCTGTTGGAGAAAGTCCACATCACGCCGTCCTGGGAGAGTTGGAGGGGCTTTTTAGAGGTCATTTTAAGCGTGAGAGTTTGTTTTTGTTTCCTTCACTTGTTTGTGCATCATCTTATGTGTTTTTATCCTTTTTTTTTAAGTTGCAAAAATGATTGCTGCGTCGTTTGCTTTGTTTTAGTGCACTAATCCAACTTTTTACGCAGGCCCTATGTAAAGGCTGGTTCCTACCTCCACCCCCACATCCAGGTACTAACTGCTTTCCAGATGAGCTCATTTACAAGAGGCCCATACCTTTGTTTACCGTCCACCATGCTTTACAGGGGTGCTTTTAAAGCTAAACTTCTGTGTGGTAAATTTTCAGGGACCAAAATGCAACATGTTTTTCTTATTTGGGCCATGTTTTGGTATTCTAAAAGTCCCTTGCATCATTTCCAAAGCATCTCTGACTAATGGAGCTTTGCACAAATCTGCATTTGTCAAATAACAATGTTCTCCTCTCTTTTGTCTATATCATGTAATTACATGAGTCACCGCTGCAGCTAGTACAGTTTCTTTTGCAGCTAAAATAACACAGGTTGCCTTGACAGCTTTAAACTGAGTGGAGGTGAGCTGATCCTGTGTTTTTTCCCCCTAAATAGGAGACCACTGAGGAGAAGACATGAGTTTGGTGGATGTGAGGAGGGCCGCAGGGTCCTTGACCCTGCCCCTGTCTGGCAATGACCCCAAAGAGCACCACTTGGATAGCATGGGGGAAAGCGACCCAGAGTCGCAGCGAGGCAGGACCCTGTCGCCAGACCTGAGGCAGGATTTCAACATGATGGAGCAGAAGAAGAGGGTCACCCACATCCTGCAGAGTCCAGTACGTAGAACAGAGCTGCATGAGACTGCTTTCCTCCCACCCAGAGGCTTTCGCTGTGTATGAGTAATGAACAGTGCTGTTAGAGCCAGAGAAGCAGTGAAATGCATTCTTTTCCATATTTAAAAAGCTGCTGTATTTACAGATGGTATATACGCCAAGATGGCAATGAAATGCTGCCAAAAACGTTTGTCACTGTATTATGTGGTGCAGATGTAGCTATATTGCAAAATTCAATTGTAAAAGTGACAAGATTGGTGGGATTCATCTCATCCCCTCCCCCACATGTTGCTATACACTGTTGGTCAACAGGCTGAAGGAAGTCTCACAGCACTTTTTTCTTGTTCTTGACAGAAATAATGACTTGGCTCTTCAAACTTTTATGTCTGGTTATTTAAAAAAAACATTAGATCAAATGTGACAAATAAAGAGTCTTGTATTTCGTATAGCTGTGTTTTTATTACAGCTTGTGAGATATGACTGTTAACCCTTTATAGGGCAAGATGGCATTTTTGATCACTTGCATACCCCCATGGAGTCCCCCCATTCCTCAGTGAGGTCTAGAAACACAAGATCTATATCCAGCCATTCAGCAAAGATGCTGCTACATGGCTGTACGTCTTATTTTGGCATTTGACCAATTAGAAGAGCCCTTGAATGATATATTACCTACTGTAAATCAATTTAAAAAAAAAAAAAAACCTTATCAAGTTAAGAAAAAAAGGTAAAAATGTAAATGCTCAGTGGGGAAGTGCGTAAGACTGTTACCTTGCAGCAAGAAGGTTCGGGTTTGATTCCAGGCCTGGGGTCTTTCTGTATGGAGTTTGCGTGTTCTCCCTGTGCATGCGTGGGTTCTTTCTCCGGGTACTCCGGCTTCCTCCCACAGTGCAAAAATATGACTGTTAGGTTAAATTAAGTTGAAAAATAAGTTATCAAGTTAAGAAAAAAAAGGTGAAAAGTTAATAAGCCAAGTTTACACTTTTATTTAGATTTATTAACTAAAAAATGTAAATGCTAGTATTAGCATTAATGCCTCTGGTTATGTTGTACCAAAAGAAAAATGTTTTTCTTTCGCTATCTGAGTGTTTTTCATGAAATTCTTATAGAAGCACTTTTGTTATTTTTCTTATATATAATATATTCGGGAAGTTGGCGTTTCTTGTTATTACATTGACATAAATTTTTTCCATCAAAATATGCATATTTTTTTTGAATGTTACAAAGGTAATAAGGTGTTGCTCTGGATTCCAATAACACTATTGGCTTGAAACGTTGATTTTCAAAGTATTTCACTGAGTGCCCTATAAAGGGTTAATCAGCCGAGTCCAAACTCTTCTTCAGTGTGAACCTGAGTTCATATTCAGAGGAGAATAGAATATTAATTTATTGTCCCTCACTAGGGATATTAGGGTTTTTAAGAAACAAATTAGCAACCAAGTTTGTAACAGAATAATAAATATAGTAGACATAAGTAGGAAGATAAAAAAAAAAAGATTTGTAACATATCTGTCTGTAAAGGTGCATAAAAAACACCAGCAAGGTCTGTGCAAAAGAAAAAACTTAAAATTACAGTAGGGATGTAAACACATGAATAAAGAATTTTAGTTACGTTTTATAATTACAGCATAAATATGCCTAAATAGAATTCCAGCAGTGAGTGCTGCTACACCTGCCTGCAGTATTGAGGAACTGCCAGAAAGCTAGATGGCCATAATTTACTCAGCTATTTAATAAACCTCGATCATCCTGAAAGGCCCTGCAGTAAAACTACAGTTCGCTATGGTCAAAGACCAACCAGTGTTAATTAAATGAATCGATCTACAACAACTCTATTAAAAGGCTATTTCCTTGGTAAGTGCATTGTTGATGAACCCTGAATTGAATCTGATCTTGATTAGTCCTATGAACTATAGCGGCTTCCACAGAAACCTTTTATATTGCCTTTTTTTTTTTTTTTTTACAGTTTTTATGGGAGTGCTAACTTTCTTAGCAACTTTCTTCCCTGCACACATGCACAATACAATACCTCCAGTCTAGAAATCGACCGATACAGGTTTTATTGATGCCGATACCTCTTATTTTAACATTAGCATAAGTGGCGCTGATAAATGCAATCCATATCTTTGGGCTGATTCTTCAAGTCGATACTCCTTTTACTTCCTCCACTTGCATCACAAAAATTAGATAATACTTAAAAGATGTAACACAAGTCCTAATTTAAACATAAAATAAATATTTATTAATAAATCACACAAAATATTAACAATGGATAACAAATGGAGGTAACCCGATGCATGTAGTTTACTAAATAGAAAGACATGTCTGCTAAATGCGCTTATGATAGAGTGATGGCATGCATACATTGCCCAGTATTGATAAAATATTTAAAAAAAATGCGAATGTCAGCAAAATAAATCAGCAGGCCGATGTATTGGTCTCTCTCAACTTCAGTCACACTATGTTGAAATTCAGCAAACTACTGGTATATAGATTTGAGAAGTCATATAACGAGATTATTGCCCTTTAGTTTGCTGGGAGATTATAAAGTCTAGCAACTGCTGGGAGGAAGGATCTGCGATAACACTCCTTGGTGCACCAAGAGTGCAGCAGTGTTACTAAAGGAGCTTTATATTATTGTGGCAGCTTCAAGCATGACTTATCCAGTTCCAGTTTCTACTTGCCCCACACAAACTGAAATTTGTAAATTTTTCACATACCCGGTAAGTTGGAAAACTCAAAAACTGAAATTAGATTTTTTTTCTTTTTCTGGAAATGAATTGAAAAAAGACTATTAATAGATAATATTCCCATCAATTCTTTTGTGCACCCTTACACCCATATATCTCAGTTATAGATGTTTTTACTTTCAATTAAACAGATTCAGGACTTTTAAAATGCAAATTAGAGTGTGGGATTGTGTGACTGCGTAGTGTTATAATAAAGCTTTTATACAATGTTAGACACTCTTTAGTCATATGGAAAACAACAAAATTACTTGATTGTATCTGCTAAAAATTTTCATATAAACACTAAGGGCCTGATCTTCAAAGATTCCACATAAAGGGCGCTGAACTGCAAGTTTAATTTAGTTTTCTCGTCTGTATCAGTGTGCATATTGCTGGTGGTCTACAATGGTTGCTTGTGCAACTTTTAAAATATGTAAACTGGTTTGGTTCTGCCCATTTAAATGACTATATTGCATGTAATACTGGTAGTATTAGAGCAGCCATTAAAGAACAACAAGGTTCTCAGCCATGTAACTGGTGGAAATGATGACAATAATTATGAGAAAATAATTATGATATGAGATATTAGTACACTTTTCATAAGCAGCCCAATTGTAATGAACATTTTTTTAGAAAAGGTAATTACTGATCGATGACCCCCCCAATCCTACTTCCTTTCCGAGACATGAGCCATAGTCCGATTCACAGCAGATAACGCTTCAGAGGGGCTAAGAAGATGCAAAAACTACAGCTATAGTTGAGTTTCAGATTGGAAAATCTCTTAAATTTTAACGTCTGCATGTCCTCCACCCAAAAATTACATGATTTGGTCATTAGAACATGGGCTGCATATTAATGAACACAAATAACTTTGCACACGCTGCCTACTGAATTGATATAGGTAAATCACTTTGCTCTTTCTCTGAAGATCAGCTTTGTGCCTACAAATAAGTGTGCATGTTTATTAAGATGTGCAAATAATGTGAAGATTAGGTCTGTAATGTATTTAAGTTCAGCTAATAGTCATTTAATTCCATAACATGTTCAACCTATTACTCCTGTAATGTATTAAGATACCAGGGGGTTAAAAACTTTTAAAGATAACATTAAGGCTGGAGCAATTAATTGAATTAATCATGATTAACAATTATAGAAATGATCATCAACTACTTTAGTAATCATTGGTTAAGGGGAGTATAGAGACTCTAAAGATGCCTTTCGCTGACAGAGCAAACAAAAAAAAGCTAATTTGTGCCATTTAACATTAAAAAAAAAACATTATTGTCTGTCAATATGCTCTATCCAGCATTCCTCAAGTGGAAAAGTTTTAGTTTCACCTGGCTGAATTCTGTAAAAAATAGTATTTAAGGAATCTTAAATAAGATTAAATAAGGAAGCAAAATTATAATTAGTTGCAGTCCTAGATAACATAACCTTTTGGGTTTTGTTCACTTGAAAAAACAATCTGTCCTTTCTATGTTTGTTAATATGACTACACAATTTCAGGAAATCCTTCAGTGGTGTTTTCTGATCAATTTTAATAAATCCACATATTTTCTCTCTATAATCTTTGATAATGATGCTGCAGCAGTTTTTTGTGAGACAAAAAAAAAACAACAACCCTACATTGATTGCAGTTCAGAAACTATTCTCAAGCTGAAGTATTTAATCTGTATTTAATAAGATTTCAGGCTAACCTCAATCTAACTGAAGACAGCACAGTCTGGAGTACAAGGAGGTGTAATGCACAAATATCAGTGAAGTAGATAGAAATAAGACGAGCCCACACTCATCCTTGGTTGCATAACAAGCCCAACAAGTGTAATTCATCACCATGGGAACTGAACGGATGGAGCAGAATACCAGAGCTCAACCCTAGCTAACAAAAATGCTGTTCTAGGACTCACTGCTACTCTTGATGCAAAATTTGATAGTCATGTTTATTTTACACCCCTCCTCCTTGTTTCTTTTAATGAAGCCCCTTTTCACAGACTCACAAAGAGCCTTTTAATAAGCCTTTGGTGATTTGTGTACAGTGGCAATAAGGAGAACTCCCTGGACACATCCTCTGGAGGTGTTGGAATGAGGTGAAGATTGTGTTTGTCTCAGTTGTCACGGTGACAGAGCTTTACAGAACTGTTTTTCCTTCTTGCTTCGATTTCAGGTGTTTAAAGATGAGCTGGAGGGCCTGATTCAGGACCAGATGACGAAGGGCAACAACCCCTCAGGTCTCCTGGCACTGAGGCAGATTGCTGACCTGGTCATGGCCAGCACCGTGGGAGGAGCTGGCCCTTTGACTTCACCCATCAGTGAGTGGCTGTGTTTACAAAAGAATCTGTCTACGTCCCTTCGAGTCAGGTTGACACTAAGTGTGCCGCATGTGTATGAGCGTATTCTGCACACTGATTAACCTCATTGTTGGAGGGAAATCTCTCAGAATCTTGTGACACTCGACAGCCCTGAAACTGCAGAAGAAGCAGAAAGTTGTTGACAACATCCTTCATTGTTTACTCCCCTCATGACCACTCTTTGGAAGAAATTAGAGCAGTTTGCTATGGTAATTCTGTTAGTGTGACTGTTTGCCTCGGGGGAGGCTTTAACAGAGGTCATAGAAAAGACATAAACATTCGGATCAGGCCATGAAGGAAGTGGTTGCGAAGCTGTTTATGCAAACCTTTCTTTTAGAAAGCCAGAGTGGTCATAAAAAGAGATTGGGTTCTGTATCATTACATGTCCTTATATGGAGTAAAAAGCCCAAAATATCTTCTGGTTTTACGTTGGGAATTCTAAGACCTTTTAAAGCTTCGTAGCTGCATCCAGCTGTGCAGACTGGAGTTTCCTGTATGTAGTAAGAGGCATGTAGAGTGGAGGAAATCCATAAAAGTATTTTTGCTTGGCTTCTAAATTGTTTTAAAGATTGCTTGTTTATCCATTCATCAGTCCATCCTTTTGTCTGTCCATCCACCGCCTATTCACCCATCCATGTTTAATTAAAGAACTAATCTAATTGCATAACTAACTTTTTAATTTGACACTGGTAAAATATGGAATGCTGACACGAGACGAATTGTCCAAACGTAGGTGTAAAGATGTTAAGCAATGCTTTGAAACAAAGTGATGTACAGGACGTGTTATGTCTTTCTGCAGGCTTTGGGATGGTAACTCCAATTAATGACTTGTACAGCATCGAGTCTCCTTCCTTTGCCAAAGGAGAGAAACAGACCCGTTGCAAACTGGCCACCCTCTACAGGCTTGTTGATCTCTTCAGCTGGGCTCGTTTTACAAGCTCCTACATCACTGTGAGTATAACTTCACCATCTCACTTTGCTGCACGGTGGCTTATTTATGCATCACATACGTTGGCATATCTTTATGTGAGCTTGGTGCTCTGACTCGTTGTTATTCATATATGGGATTTTTAATTACAAGTGTGTGAAGGGTGACATGAATTAACTATAAAATACCTGACAAGCACTTAAAATGTCAGAGTTTGACATTTGAGTAACGAGACTAACTAGGTAAAAATATCCTGGAGATATACTTCTTCTGCATCAGAGTACACTGGCTTTTGGATTCTGATCAGAATCATTTTGTGTCATGTGGTCAAAAGTGTTGGACTGAGGTGTGAGCCTCCTGCTTTCTTCCATGTGACTCAGGTGCGTGTCAACAAAGAGCAGGATCACATCCTCATCAGTCCACAGGGCCTGTCATTCGCTGAGGTGACTGCAGCTAATTTGGTAAGAACAACCCCTGAGTCAGATGCTTTTTACCAAATGCTATTAGTTGTGTGCTGATATGCTGTTTTAATGCATTTCATTCACTCAAACACAGGAACATAAGCAGATGTTATGAATTCATTCATTGACTGCATTTGATGACTGTATTTATTTAGAAAATGAGATATATTAACAGTGTTCTTAAAGTCAGTTCTTAATCTGTGTTCTAAATGTTTTTATGTGCTAGTATATTTGTAAATTCTGTTACACTGGTTTCTGTTGTGTTTAGAAATGTGCAGAAAATTCAGAGCTCTGGTTCAGAGAATCATACCAACTAAAGCATGTTGGGGGGGTCACCTGCTCATGAATCTTAAAAATTCTTTCCTTTTTGCAATATTCTTTTTAAAAATGTCTTCTGCAGGAAGAAGCATAAAGTTCCTATCTATAGTGGTGGTTGAGTAATGCAGGGTCTGTCTGTGCAGAGGACCCGGTCCACACAGATCAACACAACCATACATGCATATCAGTGGCTGCTGCTCTTTGAAACAGGGGAGGCTCAATGGTGTTAATTAAAACCAAAAGTTATGTATTGAATTAAAAATGTTGAAAAACATAAAACACATCAATACAACGGGTGAAAATAGCTGTTCTGAAGCACTCTGAAATTATAAACTCCAGAAACCACGGGAAGAGTTCAGCACAAGACAAATTTTCTGACCGATGATCTTTTTTCCCTCTGGACTCATGAGGAAAACCTCCTCGCTATCTGGTCACTGTCAGTCTGAAATCCTCAAGAATGTTTACCAATCAGTATTCACTACAACCCCCTGCTCCAATGACCCCCCAGGATGTTTAGCCTTACAGGAAATGACATATTTTGTACTGTTATCCAATCAGAGCTCTAGTTTCTCGTTGCTTACCTCCATAGACCGAGGCTCAAACCTCAACAGGGATTTTTCATAGAGGCTGACAGGCAGTCCTGCTGTTCCAGAGCAGAGGGGAGATTTGGTCTGAGAGCAGAATAAACAGCTGATTAATGCTCAACACACCATACCACCATAGCGCATATTTAGTGCAGTATAATGACTACATTTATTAATTATGACCTTGCATATTTCACGAATAATTTTACAAAATTAACGGGGGAGGTTTAGTCTGCCTATTATTCAATGAGAAATCACCACTGATGCATGCTTAAGGGTAGAAACCGTATAACCTAACAGCCATGTTTTTGACTGTGGCTGGAAAAAGAGAACCAACATATGTAATGGAAGAGCATGCTAACTCTATGCAGCATGCAACAGCTCCTGACCTCCTTACTGCAGAGAAACAGCACCATAAGACAAATCTTTGTTGTAATACAGTAAAATCCTGTCATACAGTGGCAGCGCTCTCATACATGCTCCTAATATCATATTAATATTGACCACAGTTGGATGGTCAGAATAACACATAAAATGTTCACAATTCTCCTTTTAGTATGACATGGTATTGGTGAGAGAATCTGTTTGCACTCTATGGTTTTTAATCACCTGTTTGCTCAGAATTTAGAAAGAAAACAGTTGGAATGAGGGCTCTTTTTGTAATTATATTTATCTAAAGAATATATCAAACAGATTTTAGTGCTTAAAGTGTTTGGAGTAAATTAGTATTTCATTCTGGCTAGTATATAAACTTAGTTTAATCTGTGCAAAACTGTTTGCCCTTTTTTGTAGGATTAATTTAGTGCGAAGTTCAAACATCCAGAGTCAATTTTACTTACTGATGTAAGTTAGAAATATTAAACTAGATATTAAATACAAAGTTCAGTCTAGCATTGTTGCTGCTGATTATTCTAACAAGTTTGGCTTGAAAGTTTAAATACCCTTTAATTAAAGACAGAAAAAAATCAGGTGCAAGTTAAATAAAATAAAATGTACAAAATTAATTAATAAATAAAAAAAAAAAAAAAATATATATATATATATATATATATATATATATATATATATATATATATATATATATATATATATATATATATATATATATATATATATATATATATATAAATGGGAACCATGACATCGAATTCAATTTTTCATTGATTTTCATGTTCAGGAAATGTTCAGTCAGATTTCTGCACCTGTTAACAGCTATGTTTGTTAACAGTTCATGAGCAAGGTACTTTAATTTGTCTGAGATCGTTTTTGTTCTTCTTTTTTAAATAAAGATAGAAAATCATTATTTTACTTAACTAAACTATCATCTAGTTAATTCTTATTTATTATAAATCTTCAACTTTTTTGTTATTTGAATTTCTAGTTTAAATTGATCATTTTCTTAAATGGGAGTGTATGTAAGCTCTCAAGCACAACTGTCCAGTATGTCATAGAGTTAGTATTGGTCAATCAACTGTTATGGTTCCTTTTAGTCCAGTTCTGAGCGAGGTTTATATACCTTGTGTGTGACTTTGCTTATAAACACTGTCAAGCATTTTGTTATTATGAACAAGTGTTTCCTGCTTGAAACAACATGCATTTCGTTTATTAAAACAAAGTGGTTTATTATCCCTGATCAGAGATCGGAAACCGCTCCTGGCGTTATGAGGAGCATTCACAGACACATGATGCTGGGGTTATAAATTAAGCTGTTGACATAACACAACTGTTTGCAGAGATACCAAGACATATACAAGGGTTTTTGTTTATAAACTGTCTCCGTCCACAGCAATCCTTCACAGAAATTTAAAGTAAAACAGAACAAGGATCAAATATTTACCAGCGTGGTTGTTTTTGTGTGGGTTTCTGTTCATGTTGCACTTTCAGGGATTGTTTGAGCTCCAATACTTTAAAATTTGCATTTTTTCTCATTGCTTGTAGGTGAAGGTGAACATAGTTGGTGAAGTTGTGGACCAGGGCTCCACTGATCTGGGCCTTGACCAATTTGGATTTGCCCCACATGCTGCCATTTACTCGATGCGCCCCGATGTTAAATGCATCATCCATATACACAGCCCAGCTACAGCTGCTGTAAGTACAGTACGCTGTTGTCAAGTTTTAAAAGTAGTTGGGTATTTTTTTATATATATAAAACTGGAGAAAAACATGATTTAAATAAAACCAACCTCTTGCATGGCTTGTTGGTATAGGTATAGAGTCTCTCTGATGTAATTTTATCACCTCTTTTGAAGCCTCGCTGTAAAATGCAGAGCACGCTGTGAGCATCGCTATAAAACCAGCATTTTTATTTGTGCCCGAAAGCAAAAAATAACAGGGCCTCTGTTTAGATGCTTCTGCATCACAGTCTCGCTTGTTTTCATCCCACACTAACAGGTGTCCTCGATGAAATGTGGAATCCTGCCCATTTCCCAGGAGGCTTTGCTGCTGGGAGACGTGAGCTGCTTTGGTTACTATGGCAGCCTTGATAATAAAGAGGAGAAGGTGGAGTTTCAGAAAGCTCTGGGCCCGACTGCCAAGGTACGGCCAAACTGAAGCACCTCATTAACAGCTTGCTCACTTTAACATAAGGCAGTCTTATTATATCATAATGCCAACACACAAGGGGTTCTACAAATGTTTGATAAAACGCTTTCAATCATATGACAACTTGCCAGAAGACAGACTTTGATTACTGAACCAAATTTTGGTATTTGAAAAGTTGCAGCTTCAAAACTGTCCAGAAGTGTTCCACTTTAAAGCCTTTTCTAAGGAGCATAGAGAAACACAGCATTGTTCCCTTTCTGCACACTGCTGGTTAGCTGGCTTAAAGGAATAGTACACCCAAAACATGATTAGCCTTCATTTTCTACTCACCCCCATGCTGAACAACACTCTGGAGTACTTTTTTGATATCTCAAATGCATCTGGAGATCTGGGAGGCTTCTTGCTGTCTGCTGACATTCAAATAATGGAGGTCTATGGCGCCCGAGGCAGAAAGGTCCATAAAAGTCCACAGAAAACGTGTCAATATTCCTCCATACTGCTCGTCCAATGTATTCCAAGTGTCCTGAGTGGGTAGCATCCAGAATTTACTCGAAACGAAGTCATTTAGAATGTTTTTAGAGCATAAACAGTAGTGTATAGGATTTCCTGAAAGCGCGCGCCGGCGCGTTCATGACGCTACGGAAGCCGGCAGACCAAACCAGATGAAAGTGCGCATTCAGCGTCTGCTCTGCCAATAATGCAAGTGTAGAAGAAGAAATGTGCTGTTTACCTGTGCAAAGAAAGAAACAACGAAAGAAAAATGTCTGAGGACTTCAGTGTTGAGGAAGAGCATGAGTTCTTTGCCGAGCTGAATGCGCTGGTTTGGTCTGCCGGCTTCCGTAGCATCGGGAGCGCGCATGTGCGCGCTTTCAGGAAATCCTATACACTACTGTTTATGCTCTAAAAACATTTTAAATGACTTCGTTTCGAGTAAATTCTGGATGCTACCCACTCAGGACACTTGGAATAAATTGGACGAGCAGTATGGAGGAATATTGACACGTTTTTTGTGGACTTTTATGGACTTTTCTGTCTCGGTCACCATAGACCTCCATTATTTGAATGTCAGCAGACAGCAAGAAGCCTCCCAGATCTCCAGATGCATTTGAGATATCAAAAAAGTACTCCAGAGTGTTGTTCAGCATGGGGGTGAGTAGAAAATGAAGGCTAATCATGTTTTGGGTGTACTATTCCTTTAAAGAAGGCTTAAGCCCCCTTTTCTTTCCAGAAAACTAATATTTAAATGTTTAAAGAAAATACACAACACCCAAACAGCTGTAATTTTGTAAGTACCGTAAGAGTGCATCTTAAAGAACATCATTATTAAATGTATATCATTTCTAATCATAACTGATGTAAAGATTTGTCTAATAACAAAAAAGGTCACATTTTTAATTATAAAGTGTGAGTAGATGTTTAATTTAAGCTTTTTGTTTTTATGATAAAATGATAATGATACAGATAACAGTTTTCTAACTAATAACATTTGTATCAGTTTAGCAACAATTATATTTTTTCATCATATATTATCATATATTATCTGTTACAATTTCCTTCCCATGATCACTTTATTTATGCCCATGCTCTGAAACTTTTTAGTATTAGCTTAGTTTTTGTGTTAAGTATTTAAGAAAATAGAGAGGGATGAGCACACAGACAGACAGACAGACAGACAGACAGACAGACAGACAGACAGACAGACAGACAGACAGATAGATAGATAGTAAAGTAAAATATAATTATAAGGAGCAGTGAACAGATTGTTATGATGTTATGATATATATAATGTATATGAATATAATATGACTATTAAATGTTTAAAATCTAATATTGTTAGATCCAGTTGCATTTGATTTTATAAAAACTTTATTTTGTTGATGTTTGCCCTTTTAGTATTTGTACATTGCAAATGCTATGATAGCAACTTTGCAGAATGTGCTGCTGGTGCACAGAGCCTCTGAAGGCACAACATGGTTCTCCAGAATTGTGATTTTAAACAGCTTTAAAGTTGATCAAAGACCTTTTTTTGTGTGTGTGTATATAATTTCACTCTAAAGTAATTTCTCACTGATTTTTTCCATTTTTGTTTTTCAGGTGATGCTTTTGAGGAACCATGGACTGCTCGCTTTAGGAGAAACAGTGGAGGAAGCTTTTCATTATGTGTACCACTCGCAGCAAGCCTGTGACATCCAGGTAATTAAGTTATGTTCTTAATTATTTAACGTTTGCTGTATAAAAAATAGGTGCATTGTTTGGTGGATTTAAACCTGAAAATCTATCTTTACTCATACTTCCTACTCTTTGATCTGGTTGTTTTTGTTATTCATATGTTGCTAAATGTGACAGACAGAAGATAGAGCAGTGCCTGAAATAGAAGCACACCAGATGATGTCTGGCATGCAGGATCTCCAAGCAAATCTAAGTCAAATATGTGATTGAGGAGGCTGTTCTACTGTTTGAGTTTCCTTTTTCTTTTTTGTTGCTTAAGTCTGAAATCTGAAGTCAAGGTTTCTACAGACATAAAGTTTAAAGATGTTGGAAATAAACTTTAATCCTTTCCACATCTGGACAAGCATGAAACCAGAAAGTAAGAGGATGAAATAGATATTTGCATTTGTTGACTTAATCCTTCCTCCACTTTCTAAATGTTGTATCCTTCCTTCCTTGTGTCCTACCTAAGCCTGTCTTTTGTCCTTCTTTGTGTCCACTCTTCAGTCCTTCATGTATCTCCAGACTTCATTTCCTGCTGTCTAAATGTCCTTCCTCTTTTCTTCTATTTTCATTACACTGTCACAAGTACAGAGCAACGAAATGAACTCTGTGCATTTAACCCATCCTTTAAGGGAGCAGTGGGCTGCCATTGTGGGGTGCCCCGGAAGCAATGTGGGGTTAAGGGTCTTTTTGCAGAGGCATTCTGTTGGACTGGGGCTCTAACTCAGAACCTCAGCATTCCAGGATCTATGCCCTAACCACTAGGCCACCACTCCCCCCATTTATGTTTTCAATCAATAATAAACACTGAGATCTTTAAATATATAAGTCTACAAAAACAAGTTTTTGCCTGGACAAACCCTGTTCATGGGATTCTGTATGAAGGAGCTGCTTTAATGTTATTTTTAAATGTGAATTCTAAAATATGGAGATTTATGGACATTTTTTGTTTAGGTGAACTCTCTGAGGTGTTCAGGCAGTGTGGACGACCTTGTGCTCCTGGACAGAGAGACGTTTAAACCCCGCACCCAGGGAGTGGCTGCTGCCGGCGTGCTCATTGACAATGAGGTCAAGTGGAAGGTGGGCGAGGCTGAGTTCGAGTCCCTCATGAGAATGCTGGACAACCTGGTGAGTCAACTTTCACCTCCTTGTTCTCTAATCAGGTGCTTCCTCTGGGTTAGAGAACACAATGAAAAGAGGATATGCGTTTGTTCATCTACTCTAAAATAACGTGTGTGATTTTATGATATTGTCTTTTGTTTGCATTTCCTTATACCTCTTGAACTTTGTTTGTATTTTTGAGTTGTAACGTTTATTGAGGCCTTTTCAGGTTGGCTTGTGATCTTTGATTCCTCTGTAAGGATTTCTGTAGGGTTATAGCAGCCCCCCCTTTTATTTCAACCACACTGATTTTGGAAATGTTCTGCAGACATAGGAGATGTCAGGCTGTCTGTTTGAATGGGCTTCCTGCTAACAGCTGCTTCTGCTGCAGGAGAGTGCAGCTGTGTTAACTCTGCGGAGTCATTACCGTCCATCCACCCGATCACAGCTCTCAGATGGAAAGGCATGCTGTGGGCAGAGAACCACAGACCACACAATCGGTTATTGGAACAGCTCTAGTCCAGTCAGTTTGGATTTGGCATTTCTTCAAAGACTTTTAAGAACTGCAGAGTGAAAATAGTTCAGTAAGTCTAACTGGTGGTCTGACCTTTTGAACCGGAGGAGGAAGTGAGCTGGTTTTGAAGGTAATAAATCATAAGCAAAAGGCCTTTGCTGAAAGAATAATAAATTAGGTTGATTGTATTGGTTTTCTCAAGCAAAATAAAATGACTAAATAAACCATTCACAATTCTAGGTTGGCTTTAAAAAGCCAATACCAACTTACAGATTCTGATTTCAAAAGGAACTATATCATAACAAGAACGAAGAAAAGCACCAAAATCAGTTACTGTTATAAGCATCATTATTTGCTCAGGGTACAAACATCATGGATAAAAATGCTGATGTTTTATTTTTTAATGAGACAAAAAAAGAGCACTTTATCTACTTTGCCATCCTTATTTATTGATTTGCAGAGATGGGAAGTAACGAAGTACAAATACTTCGTTACTGTACTCAAGTAGATTTTTCTGATATTTTTACTTTACTTTACTACTTATTTTTATGGCGACTTTTTACTTCTACTCCTTACATTTTTACACAAATATCTGTACTTTCTACTCCTTACATTTTAAAAAATTGTCTCGTTACTTTAGTTTTGAATCATTTCAATGGAGTTACCGTTATTATTTTTCACGTCATCAATACCAAATTCAGTCTAATTGGATGGGAATCTACGTTGCATTTGACGCACCACTACAAGATGAATGGACAGATTCGGCGGTATTCATTGGCGGCAAATCATTGCAGCTTGGTGGCGGTGGCGTTAGCATAGTAGCATGGACGACGAGATGATTGAAAATGAACACAACGGAGATCTAGTCCTATTGGCAGACATCCATTTAAAATGTAGGCAACGGCATGAAAAAAGTGGTTTATACTTTTACTTTTATACTTTAAGTAAATTTACAAGCCTGTACTTTGTTACTTTTACTTGAGTAAAGAAGTTTAATCAGTACTTCCACTTTTACCAGAGTATTTTTTAACACAAGTATCTGTACTTTTACTCAAGTACGGAAAGTGAGTACTTTTGCCATCTCTGTTGATTTGGTATCAATTATACTATACCAAAGAAATAAAGCTCATTGTTTTGGTCAGACCTTTTGGACAAACATAGATGGATCAGTTATGTGGATTTTGATGTGAAATGATCGTATTTTCAATACTCACTTTTCTAGTATTTGTTGCAGCAAAATATGGAATATTTTGACGACCTCAGTCAGAAGAAGCATGTTGGTAAAATGAAGAGATTGCTTTAAACTTAAATCTGCAATGGATAGAAATAATTAAATCTTTCTCTGTCAGTAACAACTTTTTCGATAGCGAGTGATATATCAGCTCAAGCCGCCCTAGCAGCATAGACTTGTATATCGCTCATTTGCATTTTCATCGTTATATAATTCGCCCTTTTAAAAGTTTTAATTGGCTGGTTTGTCAGTTTTAGGAAGGTTAACAGGGCCTGATTCTCGTCACCTGTTGGAGTTTTCCCGTATATTTAAAAGACAGCTTTGAGCAATCCAAACTTAAATCCCTCTGGGTGTGAATCAAGCTATAGCCTTCAAAAATTTTGCATGTAAGTGAGGGAAGATTATTTCAATGATCTTTTCAGTATTTTAGATATTTTTAGGTTTCAGGGATACTTAAAACTGTGCTTCAGGCTCCGAAAGATAGGGGAGTGACAACATCATGCTTTTTCTGTTGCATTAAAGGCCATATGTAGGCGTGTCTCTTGTGTATAACTTATGATACTGCCTAGAAAAATACCAGTCATCTATTATTTTGCTGGGAATGATACACAGGCAGCCTCAGTGTGTGCTTTGTATTTTCGAAGTGCCCATAGCTATTTCTCCCTCTGTCCTTTTGTTGTGTTATTAACACAATTAACTTTTCATGCCTAAATTGGCAAGATTTATTAAAATGGTTTGCTAATGTGTTGGTCTATTTAAACATTTAAAAGCTAAATTGAAACAGATCTTTGGCCTGTGAATCATTTTCAATTTTAAGTATTATATTGCCTACACTATGAAGGGCTACTATGCCCTTCATAGTTTAGGTATGTTCCATTTTCCCTGCATATTTTAAGCCAATTGTTGTCTCTCTTAATGTGACCTGGTAGGGATACAGAACAGGTTATTCATACCGGAACCCGATTGTCCGTGAGAAGCCGCGTTCTAAGAACGATGTGGAAATCCCCGCCACGGTGTCTGCGGTGCCGCCAGAGGACAGTGAGCTGGGTCTACGCAGCCCCTTCAAGTTTATGGCACAGAAACAGCAGAGGGAGAGAACCAGGTGGCTCACCTCACCCAACAGCTACCTGAAGGTCAATGTTCCTGAACAGTCACCCAGCGGGGATGTCAGCCCACGGACCAAAATCATGGTACACTGACTTTAAATTTCATTAAGACACTGTCTCATATACAATGTTTGCTTCTGCTTTGGTTCAAGAAGCAAATTGGTCTTAGTAGGTTTTCTTTTTATAAGCCTGCCCTCTTGTGGTTGATTTGAAAATAAGCATCTGTTGGATGGTTCTTTTTAATCTTTGTAATAAATCTATTCTGACTATTTTCAGTGGATGAAGTCGTCAGAACCAGGCAACAGCGTCGGGACCCCGATAAAAATTGAGGATCCTAACCAGTTTGTCCCACTTAACACCAATCCTACAGAGGTTCTGGACAAGAGGAACCGGGTCAGTTTTTGCTTCACAAAATCAAATTCTGTCACAGTTTAAGAATATCATTGTCATTATAACAACACGCAGACCGGACATGTTAATTTATGATTGTCAATGTTGAATTATATTACATTATTTTCTAGTCTAAAAAGTAAGAAACCAAACCAGTCAAAATATTGTTCAGGCGTTGCTACAAAACAGTTTTCAAAAATTCCATAAAAGGAAGCATGGACTTCTTCTTTTTTTTTTTTTAAGCAATAGTTTTTTTTTTTTTTTTTTTTTTTAATTTGTCAAGAAAAAAAATGTTTTAAATACTAGCAGCTACAAAAACCTAAATCTAAATTAGTATCTCAATATTAAAATGATTATATTTATACCTGCTTACTTAACATTAAATTAATATTTATTTACAAATCTGCTATGTTAATCTTTTAACATATTTAGAAAAAAAAAAGTTTTTTCCTCCATATTAAAGACATGAGCTTCAAAGTATTTTTCTTTGGTTCTTTAAGGTATAGATCAACAGGAAGTAGTAAATAACAGGGATTATGAAGACATACTGGCCCAAGATTTTTATTTAGTTTAGATGTTTTGAATTTGTGTCCTGCTCCCATAGTAGGAAATTGCAAAATAAAATGTGATACAAACAATTTATTTCTATAGTCACCTAATTGGTTTACAGGATCTACCTGTGAAGAATGTATTGTTAGTGTGCAGCTGTTAAATGAAGGCTTCAAAGGCCTGTCAGAGAACATCAGTGAACAAGCATCCTCAGGAGAACAAGGAACACAGCAGACTGGTCGGGGATAAAGCTGTGAAGATATTTAAAGCAGGTTTAGCTAGATCAGACTAAAGGGGAAATTAAATTAAGCTTAATAATGGCCAGTGATTAAAAAACACTTAGGTTCAGGTTGGGATTTCCTTCTAACAGGCAAAGTTTAACATAAAACCAGAATGGTTTGGAACAAAGCACATTGAATGTGCTAGATAGAACACTAATCTAGCCAGCCAGACTAGTTAACGCCATAAACTCAACATATTAGTCAAGAAAAGGAGAGGGTTTAAATTTCCAAGCCAGGACTAACAAGAGGAAACAGTTTAGAACCAGATTACTACGATTGTGACATAAAATCACATATTTTAAAAAGAAAAAGTTCTCAACGAAGAAGCCAGTTGTTTACATTGTCCGGTCAGTGTAAGTTTGATTAACTCTGATTTATAATCCATGGCAAGACTTTAATGTGGCTGAACATCCACATATTATACACACATGTATATACAGACAAATCCTAAAATACCCACAGCTGTTCCTGCAGAGAAATGCCGCTTTGTAAGATGTAAGGCTAAAGACATGAGCGCCGTAGATACTGTATTTCAGATTTTTTAAATTATTTTTTTCATCCACTTAACAGCTGGGCAGTGCATTGTGTTGTTGAATCACATAAAATCTCAACAAAGTACATAAAAGTTTTTATAGTTGCAAAATTCAGACATGCTCAAGATGTGTAAAATACTCTCTCATATACTGTAGATATATTTTGCTGTTCTTTTTATTGTCTTGGTGCCTTTGCCTTCCGTGTTATAGCATATCAGCAGAAACAGAGAACACTTAAACACAGATAAGAACACACATAAATAAACCCAAACACTTATTACAACATTGATAAACATACAAAAAATATTCATCCATTAAAAAATACTTATACAAAATGCCTCAATGAAAAAGGCTTTTTGTTCTGCAGCTCCCTCTGTGCTTTAATGTTCTGATAAAATAGCTTTTCTAAGCAGCCAAATATTCATATAAAACAGATTAGCCCAAATAACAAATAATCCACTTGATCAATTTTTAAACTGAATAATTCAGCACGTCTAATCCTGATTTTGGCATCCCATGTTTTTCAGCTAAGTCCACAAACTGTTTAGTTCAAGCGCAGCTTCAGAGAGAGGAAAAATCATACAATGATTAAAAGCATCTCAGAGACTCTCTTTCCCTCAAATAAAATTGGAAGTTTTTCTCGGCAAATTTTTTTTTTTGTGTTAGAATCTGGTTTCAACTTTCTTAGCTTGAGCTAAAAAAAATTAATCTTTGACATTTTCAAAGAGAAAAGAGGTTGGTGATTACGGTAGTTTACTTAGAAAATTATGCTAAATATCATTAATATTGACAAACTTTATAAATATAATTTTAAAAGTCATAAACATCTAGTGACACATCCTTGGCAAGCATGAAATCCCAAAACATACCATTACAAAGTATCTTAAAGGATCTTTATAAAGCTAATGGATGCCTTTGAAAACTGCTTTATTTTTGAACTTTTAGTTTTGTGCTAAAAAAAAAACTACTTTCAAAATGTCTTCTCAGATAAAGGAACAGCACAGAGGTGATCAGATGACTCCAGGACCAAAATCTCAATTACTGGCAGGCATTGTAGTGGACACCAAACCAGGACCGGTGAGTATACATGTAATCTGTGTGACATGTGTAACTATAGTTTACTAGATTTTGTCCTTTCCTCATACATATTAAACACCATAGTTCCATCATCACAGAACGACATAGTTTTTTTTTTTTTTTTTTATGAAAATAGAAAATGTCAAAGACAACAAATACTCAGTAGTGAACATGATCCATGTATTCTTTGTTGTCACACCATAGAGTTTTTTGTAAACTTAATTAAAGCTTGAAAAATAAAAACACCATGATATGTTTTTGCTAAAGTGTTGTCTCTACCCCACACTGCTCCCCAAGGGGATGGGTTAAATGCAGAGAGTTAATTTTGTTCCTATGTACTTGTGAAAGTTTAGCGACAATAAAAGCTGGAGGAAAAAGAAATAAATTGAAGCTTTACTCTGTTGACTTGATAAAGACATTGGTCATTTGGCAAAATAGTATTTTTGAAATATCTCATCTATGGTCTCCTCTTATGAGCTGAATCATTACTAAGCTCTCTAAAAGTAAGACAGGAGTGAAAAATGAACAGACTACCACACTCAGAGACTGAGTGTGGAAGCCAAGAGCTTCTATCAGTAGCTGTGCATAGTGTTAAGGCTAACTATTATTAGCATTACAAGCTAACCACTATTTATTTGTTATGTAGCATTGCTTTTCTGGCAGTACTCCATTGATCTATTAAAGGTTATATGATGAGAGAAGAAGTTCTCATAGATAGTTCAGATATGCCGTTTCTCAATTCACTAGAACGCAAGTACGGATTTTCTTTAGAAGAACAAAGGAAAGTCTGGACTTGGTGAGAACAGGAGCACGCAAAATAAATATGGGGAATAAGAATGAACACAGTCAGATAAAAGCAAATCAAATAAAAATTTTGCCAAATAAATCTAAAAAATCGCCATCAGAGCCAGCGTTATTTCACACACGGCTATGCCGAGAGAGGGCTGCTGCAGACGGACTGCATTTAGCCCTGGCTGCAGTTAGCCTCGGAGGTCCACTGGTTGCTGCGGTCCTCTCAGCTTCGGGACATTTCTTTTTAACCTCTTACACCCTAAGGGGGTATAAATACATTTCTGCCTGACAAAAACACACAAAAGTAAATCACTTATAGCCTCACAGCTATTAGATTTAAGAAGAAACTTTTGGTACGTCTGTAAAGGTAAGATGTCATAGAATGGTTTTCTGGTGTCAGCACCATTGTAGCTTTGACCCTGCCTGAAATATTAGGGACAAAATACAAAATATTTTGCATTTTTTGAACCTCGCCAAAATTTTCTTTGAAATAAACATTGCAAAACACTACCAAAATATTATTTATAGCACAAAAAAGTAGTACAGACTTTTAAATCTAAATATTGTGTAAAAATATACCAAATTTGGACTCAATCAGATGAATCATATTTCTTTTAGAATGGTATTAGTGAGAAATTTCTTAGGCGGAGGGGCCATTTTGGCACATTTATCGTAAAAATGTCACCAAACTGTGCCAAATATGTTTTTACATCAATGCTGGGGGTTTGTTAAAATTACGAGGTCACGTAGCAGCTGGACCCACCGGTGGGTCCGTAGGGTTCTAGGGGTTAAATTACACATAAAATCGATAAATGGGCCATATAGTGACGCTTTGAAGTATAATATTCTCAGCTCAAATGATCTTAAAACATACTTTTGTTGAACAACAGCAACAGAAAAGAGAACTATTAACTTTCAATGGAGCGCTCCATTGAAAGCTGCTGCTGCCGCATTGCATGCTGGGACAGCTGTCAATCTCAAGAACGGACAAGTCTGCTCTGATGCATACTCGGTAAATAGGGAGGGGCAAGAACAACATCCGGAGACTTTATCTGTTCTCGGTCTGCTGTTCTTGTGAATTGAAACAGTACTAGGGCTGAGGTTGATGACCTTTCACGAGCACACGAGAACGTACAAGTACACATATTGAGAAACGGCCATAGATTCACCAGGAAGGCTATCACCATGTTTCATTCAAATGGCAGCCATATTGGATTTTATGATCTCTTTGTTAAGGCCATATTGAATTCTGACCTCAGGCTGATTCGGTCTGATTTAGAAACAGGAAATTATGACGTCTAAGCACAAACAGAAAACATTATTAAAATATAATTTTTGTTCTTCCAGGCCTTCATCGTTGAAGATGAGGAGCTCACCCGCTCTCTTCCACCAAACCCTTTCAATGATCTCAATGAAAAGGAGCTTGAGGATTATAAGAGCTTGGTTGAAAGAAAGCAGCAAGGCCAAGAAGGTATACATATGTATTATTACTATAGTGATCTGGTGTGTTCTTTCTTCTTTGTTTTATTAAATATACGGGTGCATTTGAATTAAGTGCAATATTTAAAAAATGTATTTTAGCACTTTAGTTTTTAACATGTCTAACATATGAAGAGTCAGTAGATTGATGTAATTAGTATATTTCTGATTAGTATGGACTACAGATGCTTGTCCATGTAGGCTACAACATATACACTCAATACTTGCTCACTGTGCCTTTTCAATTAAATTCAGTTTTTTTAATGTAGCGCCAATTCACAACACATCTCATCTCAAGGCACTTTACAGTTCACAAGATCAAAGTGATTCAAATTGATTCAAATTTTTCTATCTAAAGAAAACCAGTTGTTTGCAGCAAATCATTAACTCGGATGCAATCCCTCACACTAAGCATGCTTGTAGCGACAGTGGAGAGGAAAAACTCTCTTTTAACAATAAGAAACCTCCAGCAGAACAAGGCTCAGTGTGAGTGGCCATCTGCTGAGGCCGACTGGGGTTAGGGGAGACAGAAGCAGAGATATAAAAAGCAACTGTAAAAGGCCCCGTCCTTTTGCATGACTTGTTGCTCTATCAAGGAATAATGGCCATTGGCTCAGGGGCTTTTCTTTCTCATCTTTTTCTTGTTAAACTCTGGATATTGTTGGTGGGGTTTAGGCCTAGAGATTTTGCCGGCCTTGTATGAACACTGACACCAAGGCCATTTAGCAGATATCGTTTCTTTTCCATGTCGGGCGTGATTATTTAATGAAGCATTTGAAATTATTCATTAAATAAATACTAATTAAATTAAAGGTGTAAATCCATAATAGAATAAAAAAACTGGACCATTGAATCCATCCATCTACCTCCCCATATCTGTCAGGGTCATGGTGCTTATCTCCAGCAGTCTATTGGTGAACAGTAGGGTACACCCTGGACAGGTTGCTAGTCTATTGCAGGGCAACACAGAAACACACATACACGTAAGAGCAATTTAGAGAGATCAATTAACTTAACAGTCATGTTTTTGGACTGTGGGAGGAAGGCGGACTGACCTGAAATCAAATTACACAAACTTAGCAAAGAATTCATACCTAGGACCTTCTTGCTGAAAGGCACCAGTGCTACAAACTGCAACACGGTGCCGCTCACTATTAAATCATCAAATAATGAAACGCCATTTAATGATTAAGTCTAGATTTTCATTTATCTAATTCAATAATTGTCATTTACATATGCATTCTACTATCCTTTTTTTCTTCATTTATTTATTTCATGGCATCCTTGCACAGACTCATCATGAAATGATTTAAACTGTCAACTTCAAAGTAAGTGGGTGGGAATAGGGCCACAATCATAGAAACCCCAATATTTGATTGGTTCGATCATATATCAATTAATTTATTTACTTTACTGAGAAAGATTTTAAATGGCATTCAGATATTTAAATGTGCCTCTAAATGAGCCTGTTGTTAAATAAAAATATTGAAGCAAGTTAGCTAAACCTTAGAGTTTCCTACCAATAACGACTGGGACACAGTCTGCGCTGGGAAGTCAGCTCACAAGACTATGAAGAATGAGCAGCAAAGACTTTCAGTTTCATCTAACTCTTCGTGGCTCGTTAATGAAATCACACAGGAATATCAGGTTCCTACAGGAGAAATGTTTGTCTGACTGCACATCAGAGTGTCACTTTTATTTTTCTTAATAAGGATTTTTTTTTTTAAGTGAACAGTTTTGATAGATCTTTGAAGCTTGTTTTGTTATCTTGATGTTTTCTGTCATGCTAACAGTGCTGATTTGTAAACACCTTGGTATAGACCTAACCATCTGAAGAACTGTCGGGTAAAGGAAGGATGACATGTTTAATCCAAAACTGTCCTTTGTGATTCAATTTCTCCTGTAGAGGATGAAGATGCCACTGATGCTGAAGAGATGACAACATTTGATGGCTCTACTATCTCCCTGTCGCTTTCTCCTATAATGACACCAGCGAAACAAGGTTACTGGAAAATCCACTGAATTATAAAATACTTCACCAACCCTGAAAATTCTCTCACTTTTTAAGATTATATTAGGATTGAAAGTAGAGTTTCTACAGAATAAAAAAAAAATTAGAAATGGACCTTAACCCTTTTAGAGAAAACCTGGTTGGTTGGAAGAACTTTGATCAGAGCAGCATCTAAAAAGCATATGGTAATTGTGGAGGAGCTGCAAAGATCCACAGCTCAGGTGGGAAAATCTGTTGATGGGACGGCTTTTTAACCTGACAACAGCCAGATGCATGTCTCGCTCCGCCCAGCTCCACTCACATACATCTGGGAACCCGCTCATTGAAAGTGATTTCCCCAACCGAATTTATGGTCTGGCCAATCAGGACGCAGGGTGGGTGTGTCCTGGAGTGGAGAAGCGACCGTGAGATTCCAACAACAATGGCGGCTCGCATTGAGGAAGCAAGCGTTAGCATTGATGCTGCTATTTCTTCTGTGTTGTCCAATCTATCTGATATTGTTTCATCAAAAGAACATCAGAGAACGGCTTTGAAGGCTTTTGTTGGTGGAAACGATGTTTTCGCCCTTCTCCCGACCGGATTTGGCAAGAGCTTGATCTACCAAATGGCTCCTCCTCTCACAGCGTCACGGGTTAGCTTCGTTGTGAGTGGTTGAAATAGCACGTCAATAAAGATGACAGACAAGTGGCTTATCCAATCATATGCAAGGAGTTTTGATAAGGCCCAGCCTTCAGTAAAGGCAATTCCTATGGCGGGTTCCCAGATGTATGTGAGTGGAGCTAGGCGGAGCGAGACATGCATCTGGCTGTTGTCAGGTTAACGGCTTTTAGCATAAGCTCCACAAACATGGTTTTAATGGAAAAGTCATATAATCTAACATGTAATAAGTTGGTCCCCTCTTAAAAAATATTTGAAACTAATTACTTTGAAAAATTTTAGTAAATATAACTACTAGTTTTATATTATTAATGTTCCCCAAGATAGACTTATTTTGTGTACTGAACTGATTTATATTAAATTAATTAATTTAATTCAGTAAATTTGCAAAGCAGGTGAAAAAGAAAAACTTCCACTTTTATGAGGAGCTTCCCTTTTCATTCCCAAAAGGCCAAATATGTTTTTACATCACAGAATAGAAGCCATTAAATGTGGCTCAGCCTCCCTCATGCTGTTGTCTAGCCAAAGCCATTGCATAAAGTCAGCCAATGAGGTCCCACTGTTTGGAATCAAAATTTTAGGTTATCAGGTATTTTTTATCCAGCAGTCAGCACTTATTTAAGATGTGTATAAAGACGCATGGGAGGCATCTACATAGGAGTTAGCTGCATGCCGTTGAAAGGACTCAGCTAAAAATTTAGAAACGTTGTGCAATAGTGACGCCGAATGCCTGTGTTTGACAGGACAGAGAAGCTGCTCGGAGTTCAAGGAGAGATGGGTGAAGCATGAACAGCCCTGTGATAAAAGAAGCCTTTTAAATAGTGTAAAACTCTATGGAGTAGGGATGAGGTTCACCTTCTAAAAAGACTTAAAAAAGGAAGCTTCAGTGAAATGGATTGGATTCAAGCTTATTGTATGTTTTTTAAACACCAGTCTAAATCCAGACCTAAATCATTTTTAAGTCAAAAATGGGAAAGATCATGTTCACAGTCACTAACCCAGAATAGGTCTTTATTCATCATGATTTTACCCAGGAGATTTGACATTATTCAGCAAAATGTGAAAACATAAATAATAATTTTCCTTAAAAATGTAAAAAAAAGAGTATGAATCATTTGGTGAGGTACTGTGGATCTTAGAACAAAATTATAGTTTAGCTCATAATTAATGGCTTTTCTGTGGGGCCTTTTTTTGCCACACCTCTCTGACTCAGTTTTATCTGTCGACAGACACAATACCAAATGGAAAGGACCACTTGTCAGAGACGGAGGAGGATCTGAGCATCGAGGTATCCAAGCTGAGTGTGAGCACTTCAGAAACGGTGGAAATCTCCATAACAACAAGGGAGAAAACGGGGGAGCCTCAGACCCCGGAGAGCCAGAGCAAGTCCCCCAAGAAAAAGAAAAATAAGTTCCGCACTCCCTCGTTCTTGAAGAAGAGTAAGAAAAAGAAGGAGGAGAAGGCAAAAACAGAAGCTTGAGCAAAGAGTTTCATTTGAGGGGGAAAGCGTGATATGAATTCCTTATTTTTGCTGAGTTAAAGAGAAGTGAAATAAGAGAAATGGAGCTATGACAAGAGAGCCTTCTGTATGTTTTAACAATCATTCAAAGTTCTTTCGATGATCCTTCAAAGATCTTTCTATGTGTTGGGACTTTTTTCAACCTTATGACTGACAACTGAGAACTTTATATGGATGAATCTGTTTAAAAAGGAATGCCAGTGTTCCTGTGCCTCCAACCCATATTTTAATGGGCCTTCATGGGTATAATGAAGTAATTCATATAATGAAACATCAAGTGGACCTTACATTTTTGTGATTTCTTTTCTTATTATTGCACAAGTTGTTGAATGTATTCAAAGTTAGAGGATTTTTTAAAAATGTTTAGGTAACAGTAGTTTAAGAGTGGCTGAAAAGTGTAAAGTTATATGATGTTTAGCCTTATAAACAGTATATGTGTTTGAGCTTTGAATCTATTCATAGTTATACTTGTAATAATATATGTGTGTTTATATAACAGTATAGTGTTGGATAGTAAATGATTTGATAGTCTTTATATACTCTTACACTAAAATACGCTGTGATGAATCAAACGGTAACAATCCATGTTCTTACATGTTTGTGTCTTTTGCTGCTTTTATGGTATTTTTGACAAGGAACCAACTGTGACTAATAGAGAAAGCTTTGCAAGTGATTTTTATGAGTTTGACTTTTACCAATAGCTTTTTTATTTTATTTTGGGATTGCAATTATGAAAGTGCCATGGGTGAATCACAGCAAGTAGATTTTGATGTCTTTTGTTTGCTTAGCTTGTAATTTAAGGCATCTGAGTAATGAAATCTCTTCTTCTTGCTCAATGTTGGAGTTTTACATGAAGGATAATGGAGGTTTGTGTATTTCTAACCCGGTCAACAATGTGAATGGTGAATTTCAACCCAAAGGGAGTTTCTTGTAAATAGTATTTTTTTTCTGAAGTTCCTTTGCTATGATAAACCAAATAGCAACAAATCTTTAAAAAGTGAGAGAACAATCGAATATCCATATTCTAACACTCCCTGTATTATGCTGTTACTTTACTTACTATAAATAAGCTCCATAATTTGTGTTTACATTTGTACTGCTAATGTATGCTTGTGTTTCTCTTCTTGTTTACATTCCTCTTTGTTTATTAGCAAGATTTTTTTTTTGCTAGACAAAATAACACCTGTAATATGAAATAAAACTTTTTGTGATACAAATTTCCCAGTCCTCTTGTCTTAAAAACGCTCCAACCTCTCCTCCACCCAACAGAAAACAATACATTCACTCCATTTGGTGATAATTACGCCTGTAAAGCTGCATAATCAGCCTTCAGCCATGATATGAATGAGCGTTGTCATGGTGAAACACTGAGTGTGGGGTCTGTGGAGACAAAAGAGGGGATTTGTTGTCTCCAACAGGTGTTCACGGTGGGGGAAGTGGCGGGATCTGCACCTTCACGACCCCTTAAGCCACACACATTCACCTCCATAGAACATGCAGAGATACACATTTTATCTGACATGTTTTATTTACATTTTTTTTGTCTGATTAATAACTAAAGGTTTTTGGATTTTTGATTTCTTTATTAGATCTTCACCATTTGTGCGCCTCCAATGCGTGGCCACCATCAGTGTGTGAAAACCAATGCGTTTTCTGCCCTCGCTGTGGCAGCCTACAAAGGGTAAAGAGCAGGTGACAAATGTGACCTGCAGCACTGTTGTGCTTTGACCTCTCAACAAAGGGTTTCGGTTGTTGTAAAACAACTATAGAATCAACAGACCACCAGTGTGCTTCAAATGAGTTTGAACATTTTAGGATTTTGTCAACTGAAGTAAAAAATATATATATTTTAACATAACATCACAAAAAAGGACTCATGGCTGTCCAAAACATCTTAGAACAACATAGTTATTCATATATAATTAATTCATAATTAGTCAAAACATGTTACAATCTTAGTATGAACCACACTGTTCTTCGAAGACCTCCACAGCCTAAACAAATCAGTTCTTAGTTTCTAACCCCGCTATGTTTTAAGGAACGATATCAGTATTTAAAGTTAGTCACAATGCATCTCATTTGCATGCTGCCACAAGCCATGTAGGAGGTAAAGTAAACACTGAGGCACAGAGCTATGGATGGATGAGCTTAAACTCTGACTTAGCACAACATGCAAAATAAAAAAAAGTCTTTCTCTGAACACTTCATTATCATGTTGTAGCATGGTAGTGTCAGCATCATGCTGTGGAAATGCATGATTCCTTAGTTTAGTCACTGGTCAGAACTGGTGCGTGGATGTATGAGACTAAATGCATGGAAACCCTCTAAGAAAACCTGTTATAGTGTGAGATAGATAGATAGATAGATAGATAGATAGATAGATAGATAGATAGATAGATAGATAGATAGATAGATAGATAGATAGATAGATAGATAGATAGATAGATAGATAGATAGATAGATAGATAGATAGATAGATAGATAGATAGATAGATAGATAGATAGATAGATAGATAGATAGATAGATAGATAGATAGATAGATAGATAGATAGATAGATAGATAGATAGATAGATAGATAGATAGATAATTTTCAGTTTAAAAAATATGCAGCACTCTGTGTCTGCCTCTGCTGTGATGACAGACGAGCCACTGGTGTAATCCTCAGGCTTTTCAGATTACTCCAGTTGGGGTCACATTCTACACCAACCTACAGCGGGTCAGCTTTCCACTCCCTCTCTATCACTCAGCCATTCTGCACACAATCCTTACTGCACAGATGAAGCTTTTCCTGGTGAAATGCTGTCAGTTTCCCTCCCCCACTGATCTCTTGGTCCAAATCTGTCCTTTTGAGCCAGAGAGCTGGGAGCTGAATTTGATGTGTGAGTTATACATCAGTGATGCTGGAGCAATAAAAGCTCAGTTAACTGGAGTTCTTAACAGTGCAAATTAGCATAAAAGCGAATGAGCATCTTCCCCTTTTTTTTATCAAATTATAAGGTATCAGGGCTCCACGTCGCACCAGGCGACTGAAATAGACTCCATGGCAGAGTGAACTCTCTTTCACTCGGGCGTCTGTTACAGGCCTGGCCACATCTGCAGCATGCAAGCCATCTGCACCTATTGTCTCAGAGCCGAAACACGGCCCCGCACGCATGGCTGGCCTTGTAAAGGCAGCGAGTCCCTTTCCACTCTGTTCTCTACCATCCCTCACTGAGAGAGGGGAAAATGACTTGTTAATCTCACAAAAGCAACAAACAGCATTGACACACTAAACTTGAAAGAGATTTAACTTCAAGGTAAGCTTTATCTTTTTAATAAAAGGATAACTAAAAAAATCAATGAGGTCATTATCACTATCAGGGAATTGGTGGTGAAAAAAAGAATGGGTTGAGCTTATTGAGATCACTATGTTCACTGATTCACTATGTTCTTGCTCACATTGTGGGAGTTGGAATGTTTTGAGTGTGAGAAGTAAGGTTGAGGGTGGGAACAAGACCAATGGCAAAGAGATAAATAGCAGGAATCTGAATAAAAATGAAATATAAAAAGTTTGAATGTTCTTATGACTCATTTTAGGAAGCGAAACCTAAGAGATAACATATGTTGGTTATTAGATATCAAAGACTGAATATTCAGTGTCTTTGAATTTGAATGGCCATGAAAGCTTACTGCTAAAGGAGCCGTTTGTTCAAAGAAGGTTTTGTGAAAGGAAAACCTGTAACAGGAAGGAGCACAACTTTGAGGAGATTGTCACCTGAAATCCATCAAGGCTGAGGGGATGTGTGTGTATGTGTGCAGATCTAAGATCAAAATAAAGTTTGTATCCACTTTGTTTTCTGAAGAGTAGTCAACACAGATATCCCCCTGGATATGTCATTGCTCTTCATGCTTTCTTTCGCTTACAAGCTTTGTGAAGATGTTTTGTTTTTCTGTTGTTTTCTTCCAGGACCTGGCACCTGCCCACACTTCCAAAGATATGAAAGCTTTGCTCTATGACCATGTTGTTACTGTGCCAGCAGACTGGCCTGACCTGAGACCCATGGAGAATCTCAGGGGTGCTATCAAAATGGAAGATGAGAGACACCAGAACAAACAATGCATATGACCTGAAGGCTGCCATCCTAGTAACCTGGGCATCAATTACACCTCAGCAGAAGCAAAGGCTGATTACCTCCAAGACACTGAAAAATGATGCACCAATCCATAAAAGGAGACACAAACATGTATTTAGACCATAACAATGAACACAAACATTTGTGTTTAAATTGTAATTTAAGATAATCTATGCAAATCTCTTATTAATTTTAGTGTTTGATAGTTATTTCGGGGTTTTCAATATGAATAAGACATATAGTTTCAGAATATTTCACTCAATATTTTTGATATAAGGACTTTAACTTCCGATAAGAAAAATGGGAGCCTTTTCACAATGTTCACTTTTAGAACATGGTAAGATAACAAGTAAACTGTTTTAATTGCACAAACATTTCAAGTCTGAATGAGAGAAAGCAGTTGTTTCAGTTTAAACTACTAGAAAAGAAATACTCCAGAAAGTTTTGCAAGTGCTATACTTTATACCATAGTGCTTGTTGCACAGCATAGCTATACTTTTAGGCTGGAATTTAGCATGTATTTCCAAAACTGTAGATAACGTGACAGTGAAATAGTTGCATGGATGCTTTGAAAACAATGTATCTTCTAATAATACTAATCAACCATCTCACTAGGAAGTACTCGTGTCCTTCACATGTTCGAGGTAACAACAACAAGATTTTAATGCATGCTCCACACAGAGCTGCCCCAAGATGGCACAAGGCCTTAGGTTGAGTTTCATTTTGGGGCAAACATCCATCTAATCCCTTTGCAGTAAGACGTTTGATTCTTCTCTGAAGTTACTTTCAAAAGATGAATCCTTTTTTGGCTCACTATGTTATAAGGAGCTAGTGAAAACTGATGCATTTGCAAAACTTTTCTTTCAATCAAGGCTTCCTGCTGTTCCCTAAAGGCCCTAAACACCTATAATGTCCCCTTATGCCTTAGGCTAGCTCCCCTTTCCAGTCTCCTTGGTTTTTATGTCTACGCTACAATAAATGTATCGTAAATTTCATGTCTAAAATAAACTTTTGTGTGTTTTTTTTGTTTCCACTGTTTTATAAAAAAAATCTACCTGCTGCAGCTGTCTTGACTATAATGAAATAAGCCTAATGGACTAAAAAACATGTAGAAAGGAAGATGTTATCAATAAAAGTGACATGAAAAGCCAGGCGATGGTTTATTAATGCTTCAGGGGCAAAGACATTGATTTCTTGGAAACTGATAACTGTAAATATACAAGTTGAAACATTATGTAGTTAAACGGAATGCATCAGCTCTAGACATACCGGTACCAATAAAGTAGTTATAGAGTTGATCAAAGATACCAAAGTGTTTTAAAAAGGCTATCAGAAAGCCATGGTTTTTCAGTTTGTGGTAAATGTGTGAATATTACAAAAAAAAAAAAGGGGGGGGGGGGTGTTGGTGTGCAAGTTACACTGAATAACTGACTTATTTACACTGGTTCTGTTGATTAAATAAAAATAGGCCAACTGTGGTACAAATAAAAATACATATATGAAAAACCGGATCTAAAATTTGACATTTTTCATGATTTAAAACAAATAGATAACAGTATTTGTTATGGCTGCAATATAAGCTGAACAAGTACAGTAGCACCACATTGTTTTCCCCAAATATCAACCAATCAGTGCGCACAAAATAAAAGGTGAGACTAATTTTCTTTTCTGGGGAAATAAAATGTTTTTTCCCGTAAGTTGAAGCTCTCTAAGTGGTTTCATTTACCGCTCTCCTGCAGTATTGATAATGAGGATTTATTATGGAACAGTTGACAATGAATGCAATGTGCATGCGTTAGTGGGAGGGATTATCCACCAAGTAGGGCAAGTGGCTAAGGCTAAGGACTGCAATTCCATCCAGCCTAGTTCATTTCATTCATCCGCTCCGAGCGCGCACTCAATCACACAAGGGGAACACATTTTTGCGCACAATAATAATAATAATAAAGCCATAAGTAAAAAGAAAGAAAAGGGGGAAAAAATGGTAAAGTACATTCGGCAGCACAGCAGCGAGCTTAGAAGCGAAGAGGTCCTGTCGAAGTCTGACGCGTCCAAGGAGCAGCAGGAGAGATTGGGAGAGATGTCCGACTCTTCCTTCAGCGACGCTTTCTACTCCAAATATTCCGCAATGGACCAGCTCGGCACTTTTATGCGGAACGTGCAAGTGCTGCTGGAGGCGGCTAGTTACATTGAAAGCGCCGAGAAGAGCAACGGAAGTAAGTAAATAGACGGGACATTTAATGCGCCGAGCAGACAACAATAGAGAGCGAGGGCGACAAAAGACGCGCAGCGGACAGACGCACTGCTGGCCCGAGCTGCGCCTGCGATGTTTCACCTGCTGCTCTTTATTCTACTCTGCTCTTTTAAGCCTGACACATTTAAAAAACGGCAGCGTTTTGGAGATAAGTTGGTATATTCAGCTCATGTTGGAGTCTGGGGAAGTATTGATGCATTAGATGCGGCTATCCCGCTGATGTTTAAACTGATTATTTTTGCAGCCATGAGATGCACATTTTTCAAAGCCATTTGCACGATGTTAAAGAGCCTCCAGAGGCAGAACACACATTTAGATTGCCTATATCAGTCTGGCATTTTCCCTGTAGACATTTTTATTTATTTATGATCATTCGGCTGATGCATTGCATTTACTGAGAAATGCATTTACTGCAATCCTCACCATATTGATACTAATTAATTTTTTCTATTTCCTATCAAATGTAAAAATCCCCAGCCTTGTTATACTGTTCTGTGGGAGCTGCTGCTTCCTTGTATGTGTTGTTCACATGGTTTGCACATGGAACAAATTGTTAAGTTTCTATTGGTCTAAAACCATGTTCCCAGCCCCTGCTTCTTTGCAGATAACCAATCAGAGACAGTCTTTATTTATGACGTCTCATGTTACTGAGAGAGATGCTTCATGGGAACTGTAGGAAAACCAATACAGTAGCTACTGTTAAAGGGAAGTAGGATATAACAAAACACTCTGATAGAGAAACAGCTTTACAAGTTTTTCTCAGTTAATTCTAGCCTATTGTAAACAGTTAATTATATATACTCTCACTGACCACTTATTAGGCACAGCTGCTGGTAAAAGGTGGAACTTTTTGATCCATTTGGGCTATAACTAACTACCACTTTAGTAATAGTGTGATATCAATTATTTTAAATGTAATTTGAGTAACTGTCTAAAAAAATTGTTTAGTTTAGTTTTAGTTTATTTTACTTAGGCTTATTTTATGAGTATGTAGAAATGCATAAAAACATGCAAGAAGACAAATAATTCTGTTTCCTTTTTTTAGTTAAAGATATCAAAATATCTAATAGAATTACGTTGCAAATCTTTGGTTTTCATGTCAAAAACTTGTGGCAAAGGATGCATCTGCAGCAAAAAAAAAAAAAAAAAAAAGGTAACATCATTTCAAAAACTGCCTGTTCTTGTTGACTTAACATCAACATGAATTTCACATGCTGTAAATCACATGAATGTGACCTCATTACCTGACTAATTCAAAATAGGTGTGTCAAGAACTGAAACACCATTCCCATTATAACTAATGCAGTCTATGCAGTTTCTGAATAGAAATGTTTATGATGGGCCTGCATTGTAGTCATTGAGTGAAATGTCTCAGATATCATGTGGAGGATATTTTAAGAACTCCAAGGCATTACAGGTTCTTTAGCTTGTTAAAAAAAAAACAACAACAACAACAGGATGCAACTATTGATTTTTACAGTTTTAAAAACTAAAGCTCCAGCTCTACATTATCATGAATCATGATTTCTGTGTCTGTGGTCAAAAGATATAGTTGGACCAAAGTTATGTATTTACTCTTTGAAATAAATACAATATTCATTTTTTGTCACTACTTTATTCCAAAGTAAATGTATACTTATATTTAATCATAAAAAACATTGTTTTTCCAAATAAAACAATGAAATTTTAACAAAGCATGAAAATTATTTATGATCTGTGTTAATTTATAGTTTTACTCTGTTTGCATGCAGTTTCTTTCTTTTCTAATAAATTATAATGTTAACTTTCAAACATCTGATGAATGTAACTTGAGAAAAAGTAATACAATTAAGTGTAAGAAATTGCACAATTTTTTTAAGTTGATCGTAAAGTATTTTTTTTTCAGTGTGGTTGTCATCTATAGATAGAAAGCATTCTGTTGATAGCTACCATTCTCCTTTTAACCATAAGTGATGAACGCAGAATTTTTCTAAAAACCACAAAAAAATACATATTTTTTATGTTTTGTCATTCTTTAGTATTGCAAACATCTTTCCCAATGTTATATTTGTAATCGACAATTACTAAATATGGTTTATCTAAAAAAATTTGAAGAAGTAGCTAGTATTTTTATTTGGAAAGTCCCAAAGAACATTAATTTTTTGTCAAGTAAATCCAGCTATTCTTATGTCACTGAATACTTATTCCCTGCATCTATTTTTTCTCTCCATTAGAATGTGAGCATGGTTATGCTTCAGCATACCCTGAAACGCAGATTGCACATCAACAGAAACATCGCAAGTTCAAGAGCAGAAAAGTGGACAATATGCACAACAGGTAGGTTAATAGCACTTGTTGCAACATCCCAATTACCATAGTCTTCATTTCATATTTCTACCTCTTAATGAAAAACAGCAATAGCTTTAGCATGTTAGGTTTGGCGTTGTGGATCAGGCTGTTTTACTGATGAAATAGTTGATATTAAATGTTTTTATTATTTTTTAACAGATCAGCACACAATGAGCTGGAAAAGAACAGGTGAGAGAGGGAAGACCAAAATGGTCCTTTCGTTGCATGTTTGAGTTTTGCATGGCAATTTTCTTAGAGACAATCCCAGTCAACACAGTTGCAATGCAGTGCATGCTTAACGATGCTGATGAGCAAAGAGGCATAAAGCAAACTAATAGTTGATGTTACCACCTCCAACTTTCATAATGAACCCCATGGTGCACAAACCCACAGCTTTCCTCCACTCAGCTACATTTGCATATCTGAGGTAAATGCTAAATACATTAACCATAACATTCAAAAATAAGATGTTCTGTAGGCACTGTAAATTAGCTTATCATCACGGCACCTTTAGGGAACTTTCATAATCAACAACTTTTTCATTTCGACATGGTACCGGACATCAGTGAACGTTTTGCAAGGCAAATCGAACATAGCCACAGTATAGCAACAGTGTTCCTCGAGGACGTGTATTCAGTTCCCCAGTCAGCACACGGGAAGCATCTGTTTCTAGACAACAGAGCTCTTTCCTGAAAGATTCAAGCTATGAAAGCTGACTGCCATTTTCCTTTGGCTCCCAATTATGCAGTTTCTGTCTTAAACAATTGAAGTAAATAATAGTACATATATTAATTCTAAATGTAAATCACTACCTATACATCCATGAAAACAGCTCTTTCAAAGTGGATTATATACCTAAAGAAGAGGAGTTCAGATAAGATGATTCTAATTCACAAAATGGAGGCTAATGCAGATATGACATCATGATTTGACCTACATTTTACTCCATTATATGCAGGCATACTGAGAGTCCTTTGTCAGTTATTGTGCTCAGTCCGACTGCAGAGGCCTCTGTGGCTCACAAACAGAATAATAGATGAACTCAGCAACTTTCAAATCTCAATCCATGTCATTTTTTCCTTCATCGGCACAACAAATAATCACACATGATGCAAAAATGTTTATAGCAATTTTTGCTGTAGTTAGGAGTGGAGAATGTGACGTGCTCGTTCTGTTCAGTCCCTGCAGAGAAATTACCTGAACGATGTCTCCTCCCACAGGCGAGCACATCTCCGCCTGTGTTTGGAAAGGTTGAAGTCACTCATCCCTCTGGGACCAGACTGCAGCCGGCACACCACACTGGGACTGCTCAACAAGGCCAAAGCACACATCAAGGTGTCGTAGTGTGAGAGCTACTGAGCTGCTGTGGGAGTGGGAGCTGCTGAGGTTTCCCTCTTTGGGAGAGCTACTTTGTTTTAATTCAAATTTTGTCACAAATTAATCTTTTTCTTTTATATCTTACTGTCAGTTCTATAAAGGAAAATTATTATACTGAGACTTTATAGCACATTTTACTAACAAGCAAAGATAGCCCGAGTAAACACAAAATTCTGGTTTAAAAATTATTCTTTTCACCAAAATCTCTCCAAAATCTCTCTCAACCTAATGCTATGTAAAGCATACTTTCTTCTCAAAGTGACTAACCACATCTTTTTAGTCATTTGAGTTTAGGTGTAGTAGTCATATTTCCTGATCCCAAAAGACTTTTAAAATCAACATGAAACCACAAGATCTCAGAAGCAACAGATCACGGTCAAACTAAGCAAAACAGATGACACATAAAGTAAAATAACTTCTCGGGCTTTGGGAAACAACCCTCCACAAATGGAAAAGCATGGAACAGTAGCTAACCTATCCCTTAAAGTCAGTGTTCACTTATCATCATTATGAACACCAAGGCCTGTTTCATATGTGCGAAAAAAAGAACAAAAAAAAAGCTTTGGGGTCTTGCACCGCTTCCTCCTGGATTTCTTGGTCTTCATGATGTTGTTCGTTCAACAATTTTCTCTGACATGTAAATACACACAAATTAAGTCCATCCTCCAATCAGGCAACATTTAAGGCTGTATTTTAAACTGGATTTATTTCTGACCTACCACTTGAAATATATCATAAAATCTTTTAGCTCCAACATCTAACACTGGTCTTAAAATCTGCACACCTGCTCCAGTTGGTAAAGCTGGGTTGGCTAATTGGACAGTGACTGAGACAGTGGGATCATATATATTTTGTAAATTTCGATTAATAAATGAAAAACATTTTACTGCTTAAAAAAAATTACTAAATTATTTGCATTTTTTAATATATTTTTTTTATATACAAAGTCAAATCCTTAGCTGGAACCCCTTGTACTCTGTTCCTTGTTCCCCCATAAATCTAATGCACAAGAAGTATAAGAGTAGTTGCCCCAAAAAGCTTAAAAACCATGGCTCAATGTGCAGCGTTTAAAGGAATAGTACACCCAAAACATGATTAGCCTTCATTTTCTACTCACCCCCCATGCTGAACAAAACTCTGGAGTACTTTTTTGATATCTCAAATGCATCTGGAGATCTGGGAGGCTTCTTGCTGTCTGCTGACATTCAAATAACGGAGGTCTATGGTGCCCGAGACAGAAAGGTCCATAAAAGTCCACAAAAACGTGTCAATATTCCTCCATACTGCTCGTCCAATGTAATCCAAGTGTCCTGAGTGGGTAGCGTCCATAATTTACTCGAAACGAAGTCATTTAGAATGTTTTTAGAGCATAAACAGTAGTGTATAGGATTTCCTAATAGCGCCCCCATGCGCGCTCACGATTCTACGGAAGCCGGCAGACCAAACCAGCGCATTCAGCTCGGCAAAGAACTCATGCTCTTCCTCAACACTGAAGTCCTCAGACATTTTTCTTTCATTGTTTCTTTCTTTGCACAGGTAAACGGCACATTTCTTCTTCTACGCTTGTATTATCGGCAGAGCAGACGCTGAATGCGCACTTTCATCTGGCTTGGTCTGCCGGCTTCCGTAGAATCGTGAGCGCGCATGGGGGCGCTATTAGGAAATCCTATACACTACTGTTTATGCTCTAAAAACATTCTAAATGACTTCGTTTCGAGTAAATTCTGGATGCTACCCACTCAGGACACTTGGATTACATTGGACGAGCAGTATGGAGGAATATTGACACGTTTTTGTGGACTTTTGTGGACCTTTCTGTCTCGGGCGCCATAAACCTCCATTATTTGAATGTCAGCAGACAGCAAGAAGCCTCCCAGATCTCCAGATGCATTTGAGATATCAAAAAAGTACTCCAGAGTGTTGTTCAGCATGGGGGTGAGTAGAAAATGAAGGCTAATCATGTTTTGGGTGTACTATTCCTTTAAACTCGTGCCCCTCGTTTAAAACCTGTCTATTTAGGTGCTTACAATTTGTTTAACTGTATGTTAATAATCGACACCTACCTGCCAATGAAAGGCAGGCCTTTTTGAACTAATTGCACTAAATGCTAAATGATGAAGGGCAATGGTTAAACAATGCCTTATACAGAGCTCAACTATCATAGTTCTTTCTATGTTTTTCTCTTACAGGCATTATTGTATTCTTTTTTGCTTTATATATATATATTCTTTTTTTTCCCATATTAGTTGAAGGAATTGTGCTACAAATGATGGTCATGGACAGTTCACTCTTCTATTGAGGAGTTTAAGAAGTTGCATAAAATATAAGGGTTTTTAAAATAAAACTAAATGATTTAGACTTTTAACCAATCTAACGGTTAGAGAACCTAAATAATCAATTAAATACAAGAAATATGTGTGTTGCTTTGCTCATATGATTTTTTTTTTATTCAATAATTGAGGAGAAAAATGTTTTTTAATTGAAGGGTTGCTTTATTTTGTTGATATATGGTATTCTATTAAAATGCAATTAATTCATTACAGACCCTGTAATTAACTCGATTGAAAATTTTCATTGCGCCCCACCACTACTACACACACTGTCTGTTTAACACAGCTTATGTTAGTCAAATCATTTCTAGTGGAGGTTATGGTTGGTGCCTCAGGGATGCCTCATAAAAAGCTAACCTGGCAACAGCCGATAAGTCTTTCACCTGGACATGTAATAAGTAAAAAGCTGTGATGTCAGCTGTTGACTCCGGACATGTGCATGTGAAGTCCTGGAAAGGAGGGCTTTTAAAGCTTACTGTACTTTTATTTTTGGAACAATAGGATGTGTATTTAAAGGGTAGACCAAGTGCAGCTGGCACAGGGCCTAAAAGCCCCCGGGGCATAAAAAAACAAAGCAAACCAAAACTATGAACTGGTTAGGAGAAAGACGTTTTCTCATGCAATGGGAGCTCCCTAAAAACAAATGATTTAATCTCTTTTACCTTAACATACAAGCCTTATGCATTACAGTTCTTAGACCCAAGCAACTCTAAGTTTGAGAGTTTATCTCCCAATGAAATTTAACAATCTGCCACAAATTAAAAGGTCTTTATAGATTCAGATATTTGCCTTTTTTTATATGCAGAATATGTAAAGGAACACAACTTTTTGAAGGTTTTTGCCCATTTTAAACTTTAAATCAATCTGGATTTATAGGATCATATCATAATTGTCTATGTATTTTTTCTGTGAAAAGAAAATATTGTTCAGCATAAAAAAATAATCAAGACTTTTTTTTTTTAACAACTGAAAGGATTAGCTATTTATTTAATGAACACTTGTTATTATTAACTTCATTTAGTCACCAGCTTTTCAGCTGCAACCAAACTAGCAATATTAAAAATACAGATTTTAAATTATAGGAGGAACCTATCAACCTTACGTATGTTGGTGCTTTTCTCTTGGCTATGTATTGGGATTATTAATCCCTTTAGAAAAGGAGTTAGCCCAGTGATTTGCTAAAATCCCCTGAGCTTTTCCATAGTTTGATGTGATGCATCTATAAACTATTCACTTCACTGGGATTCCTTTTTAAGTGTGGTTATAATTTCTAACATAATTGCTGTCAGAAATGATATAATAATTCTGTGCATAAAGCTGCAACATTCTAACATGACAGTAGCTGCATCATGCTGAGGGCTAAATGAGGCTTAACAATTTGTAATGATAATAAGACAAAAAGTAGGTTTGTATTGATCAACTGTTCCCCTACAATCCTGTCACATAAAGTGAAAGAAGGCAATCTTCTAATGACTAAACAAACCGGTGGATTTCTTTGTTTTGAATAGAGTTTGCAGATCTGAATAATGGTTTTATGTTAAACATAAGTTGTTGATGAATCTTCGCTTTCAATGAGCTGCCTTCCTTCTGTCCTCTTTTGATTAGTTGCTTCTAGTGCTCTGTTCAATTCTTATTCCTTTTACAATCACGTTTTCCTCCATTAAACCTACTTGCTACTTCCACTATCATTTATATTTCACAATGTATTAACCATTAACAAGTGAACCACTTAAAGCCTAAATATGCTTTACCATGATTAAAGAGTATCTCAAGACCCAAAACAGTTGATTAGCAGACTCCTGTTGGGTCCTTACGCCAACTTTAAAGACATACCCCAACTTTTTGATACCCTTCTCCCTTGCAAAAGTCTTCATACAACGTAATACCAATCAAATTAGATCAAAATTCAAGTTAAATATTTGCAAAATAAAAAGTAAGCTGGAAAACACCTCCCTCTGTGCGCACTACTCCCACAATAAAACACAGTGGTGGCTGCATCATGTGGTGGTGAGGCCTAGTTTCCAGGACCTGGATGAATGAATAAGCCAAAAATGAACTGATGTTTCTTAGTAAGAGTAAAAATATGCATTTTGGGGGGGCTGGGAGTGTTTGCAAGACACAGTAAACATCATAGGCACCAGATGTTTGGCTACAATCATCAGCAGTCTGGAAAATATTTGTTGGAAAACAGCTGCATGCTGAGAGTTTGCATTAAAACATGGTAGTAGCTGCATGACGCTTCTAAATATTCCATGTAGTTTCTCTTTAACTACATGAAAATATCTAGAAAAGCCTAAATGAGTCACTACAGTGTGGTTTGCATAAACAAATGATCTGGAATCAATGTGTAAACATTATAATTACATTTTTTATAAGCTACAAGAGATTTCATTGAAACATGTTTTTATTTCTCTTTAGAAACTTGAAGAGGCGGATCGAAGGAGTCAGCACCAACTGGAGACCTTAGAAAGAGAGCAGAGACACCTGCAGAGGCAGCTGGCTCTGCTGCAGTCTCATGGGGAATGGGAGAGGGTCCGCACAGACAGCCTTGGCTCCCGCATGGACTCTGATCGCTCAGAGTCGGACAGAGGTCAGTCTTCTAATACAACTCTGTACTTACTTTCTAATAACTGATCGTGTAATACTAACTTCTTTGTTCTGCATGCAGAGGAAATTGAAGTGGACGTTGAAAGCACTGAGTTCTCCCATGGAGAAATGGACAGTGTTAGCACCAGTGGTGCGAGCGACCTAGACGACCACAGCAGCCGGCAGAGCTCGGCCAGCGATGAGGGCTACTCTACCTGCAGTCTAAAACTGGCATTCTCTGCTTAAACAACCAGCCTATACCGATACTGAAGCTGCAATCTTTTATGGCTTTCTCCCTTCAAAGTACCAGCCTACAGCTCCATTCTCCCTAAACAGTCTTCAAAAGAACCAGCCTCCCACATGAAAAAAGCATAACCCCAGAACCAGCCTTACGTTCAGTTCAGTCCAGCCTTCTCCCACTCTCCGGCACATTACCACCATAAATCTTTGGTAATATTTAACAAATATCAAACCACAGTTCTCTCTACTTTGTGTTCAAATGAAATATTCCTGATCCTGTGGAGGACCGGTTATTTAATCAGTGTCAAACACTGAAGGGGCGACTCTGCTTTAATCACGCTGATCCTTAGAAAACCAGCAAACCCCCTTTATTTGCACACACAACCAGCAAGGATTTCACAATTGGAAACATCTGCGCCATATGCCTTGTGAGAAAGCCCTTTTTTTTTACTGGATAACTCATACAAGCAGCACTTCTTGTCAACATACAAGTCGGCAAGGGCTAAAGTATAATTTGCATTCCAAAATATGCTCCTAAAGTCTGCTACGTCTGCTTTAGGACCCACAAATCAGACACTGATTTCATGTGGTGTCCCTCTCGTATAAGACAGTCCAATCAATAACAGGTGGCATGTAGTCCACTATTTTTAATCTAATATATTTTGCATGATTCTATTTATTTTTGATATATTTAATTGTACTTAAGTTTTGCTTGACCTGCATTCTTTTCATCACTGCTTTTAAAATGTCTGCCACACTTAATTGGCAGAAAATCCCCTACAGAAGCATTTGATGTGCTGTGAGTTTAACCCATTACTCAGTGCTTCGTTAAATGCTTTCACACCGAGTACAAATTTCATAAGTTTAGTCAGTAATAAGCTAATCTAGCACTTGTCCAAGCACAAAGCTCAAGCAATAATATCAAGTCTGATCATGTGTGTGATGTTGGCTGGATCTTGTTCATTTTTCCCCTTCAACTCCAAATACAAGGATTTACACCTGCTTTGGTAGTAGAATCAGCAGTAAAATGATTGTAATTGACTTGAAACGCTATGGTGCATGTGTCTTGAATGTAGCCTTTCAAATATTGTAATGTATTTTGGATTGACGAGTCTAATAATATCAATAATTATGTTGGTAGCATGAACAGCAATCTACAGAATATTGGTTTATACTTCAGCGTTCAATACTGTATCTTGTTTTGTACTGTAGCAAAGGAAAATTTGAAAGCTTTACACTAAAATTCTAAATATATTTAATACAGAATCGCACTGCTTATTTGTTTGAAAGGGTAAAAAAAAAACGATATTTAAAAATGAACATTTATCTGCATTCTTCTGGACAAAGCCCCAAGTAAATCACCACCAATTTGTGTCTTAACAAGGGGATCGTCCGATGCTTTGTTGGAGAGCCTTCCCCTGCCCATCACGTTTGGGAAACCACAAAAATGCACTACTTTAAGAAAATGTCAATTATGTTGAGGCACAACCCAGAATGTTTTTCTTATGCTTACTCAGCCGTCCAAGATGACTTTTTTGCAAAATATGTGCTGCTGGTCCCTTACTAAGAATTTGTATCAGCTCCTGGAGACTTCCTAGAATCTTAATAAAAACTTTAAACACAAAATCATGCTGATGTGTTCTTTAAGCTTCTAATCAAGGGTCTACATCAAAGTGCACTACTATATATTGTGCAATTAAAGCTTAATAAGTAATCCAAAAAAAATAAACATTTCAAGCATTAACTTCTGTTCATTTTATTATAAGCTAAAAATCAAGCACAAAATAAAAACGACTAATTACAGGAATGGCCTACATGTTCCTCTGATCCATTTCCATCTATCATAAGAATTCTGATGGTTTTTTCATAGAATTTTGCTGTTTATTGGAACATCAAAGTATATTATTGGAGGGTTCAGAGGAAGGAGAAGTCTGGGTGACAATGAAGCACAAGTAACAACTGCAGCTTTGAGAGGATTATGAAGCAAAGGCTATTCAAGGGTTCTGATGAGATAAGAAGTGGACTGCAGCTGGAATCAGAGCTTCAAGAGCCACCACACATACTCATGTATATATATATATATATATATGTATATATATATATATATATATATATATATATATATATATATACACACACACACACAGGGCATTAGCCCGTTTTCACATTCCAAGTATAGAGCCTCTCCTGACAAGAAAAACAAAAAAAAACATTGAATGCATCCTTCCTGAACTAATAAGATAAAGTAATGAAAGACATCTAAGTAGAGATGGGCTGATCGTCTGCATGACGCGGGGCATTTAAGAGTGATTCATAGAGAAAACAACGTCCTTCTTCTACATAAGCTGTACAGCAGTGGTGTATAGTAACTAAGTACATGTAATTCATTACAGTACTTAAATCATTTTATACTTTAAATTTTTTTTCTTTTTTAATAAAGACTTTTTTTTCCCATAGAAAAGTAAACTACTTCTTGACTTAAAAATCTGAGATATTGCTACTCGCTATAATTATATGGCCCGGATTTATAATGAAAGTTTTTTTGATCCCGAATAGGCATGTGAACAAAATAATTTCCTGGTCCACACTTCTAACTTCTCAGTGGGATTAATGCACCAGGTTTGATTTATTTTTATTTGAGAATGCCCTTTTAAAAACATGTTCATTTAATGTATTTCTCTAGAGGGATGAAAAAGTTATTAATACTACTGTTATTCTAAACTCAAGTTAGCACTAAACCATTGGTGTTAAAGTGTAGTGAAATTTGCTTTACATCTGTATTTTGAAAGAATCCACTTAATTTGTTAGTTTTTCCTCTTTAAGACATAGTGGACATATTTTATGCATTCCTACAGACCACTTCCTAGTTTTCTCAGGGACATTTAACTCAAGTACTTTTATCAGTGACTTTCACTTCTTCCAAAGTAATTTTACCCCTAAGGTATTCATCATTAGCTTTAATTCTTGATCAACATGAACGTTTTGAAGTATATCACCTTTTGTTCCAGTTTTGTTTCACATTTTCAAATAAATAAGCTGAAATAACTATGAAGGATGCCTTGGAGTAACTAAGATGTTCCTGTACCTTTAAGCAGTTTAAATTTCTGTATTTATCAGTTTTTGCTGTATTGTTCTGCTTATTTTACTGGCTGTTAAGTCTTTGCTGCCATCTACAGGTACCACAATAAGAAAACAATGAGACATTAAAAAGAAAGCAGTTTTTTCCTAAAAACTGAAAACAAAACAACGTTTATTTTACCATTTTTATATATATACAGAAATTAAAATGTCCAGGAATTCCAAAGCCTTAACATAATGAATCAGATCTCCTTGCCATTATTGATGAGAATTTAACAATGCAGCATCAAATGTGCGCTCCAAATCAAATGGCCTAAGTTTATAAACATCTTAGAGGAGGTTTTGCTTCATCTTAAAATAAGTACAAACTCCACAGCTTTTCCATAGTTCATAATGTTTTTAAACAACAGTAATGGGAAAAAATATCTAATTCTTTTTAGTTGAGGTTCTATAATATACAAGAGAACTACAGCGACATTTCAAATCCTGGTGTCCAACCAGTTCCTTTAAAAGCTTTCATTACTTGAGGGACTTTAATCATGTAGAAACACAACAAAAAGCACTGATCCAACTAGTACACAGTGGATAATTATGTACAGAGCATGTTAGGTCATTGAGGCATCAGATGTCTGACGTTGTATTTGGACGTGTCATTATACTGGGTCATAGGTTTGTCTGCAATACCACATGTTCCCACTCCCACCTTTCCATTTACGCTCTCTGGGGATGCAAATATGCTCCTCTTCACCTGAAAGGAAATACAACAAAACACACAACTGAGCAACTACTGCATAAATCACAACAAAATATTAATAATAAAACTCATACTGTTACCTGTCCTTTCTTGTTCTTTGAATAAGCTTTGTTGTTGAACTGTTGCCACTTAGATTTCTGGTCCTCCCTCTCTTGCTCCAACTCCTTCATCCTCTGCACCTTTTTCTGGGCTTTTTTCTTCTTATACTCTCGCTGCTCTGCTATTTGCTCTTTTCTGGAGACACAGGATGAAAGAGAACAAAAACTGGTCAAATAAAAAGATCAGATATCCCTATTTTTTAATTCACTGAGACAAAATGATAATGTAAACACAACATATGGTGAACTGCAATGTTATATTCCAATTATAAACTGTAAAGAAAAATATCCTAATGGACATTGTTGGTGTTGGAAATTGAATTTCAGAACAGTCTTTAAATGCTTCTATCAAAGTAAACATTTATTGAAAGTCAACCTTTCTGTGCGTTTTATGTTGTACGTCAAGTGTCTTCAGTCACAACCATTAAAATGAATGTAGTTTATTTTAACAGTTGTTATCCTCAATTCATAAAAGAAAAGGGTCTAAATTCATTTAAGTAGTGAACAGTGCAGATTTAGAGCAGGAAAGTAACCTGGACCATAATCCTTATCCTCTCCATATTAACATGCAATCATTTTAACCTAGCCAATAAAAAAATAAAAAACTTGCAACTTCTTTTCCATCTTCCTTGTACTTGGAAATATGTTCCAATAACCAGCAGTGGGAGCAACCCTTTACTGTTAATTCTTCAAAGCAGGTGGATATGATTGCTTTCCAGGAAATGTTAAAACAGCCAAATGAAAGGCTTCTCTTGAAATGTACTGCATTTATTGCTATTACATCTTTTAAAATCACAATCAAAGTCCTCTACATGAAGCCCCCACCCCCCAGTTTGTGTTACTGCTTTAGCAGGCCTCATTACGTTGCATGCTTCTTAAGAAGAATGAACAGCAGCGCCCTCATCTGGGCAGTGCACCAAAAGAATATGTTAAAAAGATTCATCGAAGCTAATTTGTTCATTTAATCGGATCACTTTTTAACCTAATACACATTCACATTTTCAAAGTGTTAGCCATAATAAAGACCAAGGGGACAAAAGACTCAAAATGAAATGAAAAAAACTGACAATATTTCTACCTAGCTCAGAGGTAAATAGCTAAAACTGCCATTTAATGGGTTGAAAATTGCCATCAGATGGTAAACTGGGGACTGATATAAGTGCCATTCATGAAGAAAGTTTCAAAATGGTATCTTTAAACATTTCTTTTGTCAGAAAAATGTAAAGCAAACAGAAGCAAAGCTTTTTCACAAAGGACTGGATAAAAGAAACTGATTTTGATGAAACAGCTGCACTGTTGCCCAGGAGAGGAAACCTTTTAATCAAAACCCTCTAAATGCAATACCCTTTACTTAGTTTTTAATTGGGTATTTTCCTACATTGATCAGAGAAAACAATGGAACTGCCTTTTTCCTCTTTTTCATAAGATGTCAAGAGAAGTCAAGCAAGCAGACAAACTAAACAGATGGCTCTGGTTCAAAGGTTTATTGCCTTTTTGGAGGCTCAATGGTACAGACAGCAACAATATTGGTCTGATCCTTGGTGCCCCTGTACTCCACCCAGAGCATCAGAGATGAACAGACCTTTTCTGAATATTTGTTCAAACCCATCAGGTATCCTTGGATTTTAGATGCAGCTGAGCAGAGTATTTTGATGTTCCCCCTAAGGGTGGGCAATATGTTGAATAAACTCGATGTATCTTGAGTTTTCCAACGCACAATAGTTAATTTGACTATCGCAACCATGGAGTATAAATTCATGACGACATTAAGCCATCTACATCTATTTCACTGAGAGTTTTATTTTTCCCACACACTTTGAATGCATCATAAACCCTTCCCAAAACCGGTTTATTTTCTGCACGCACACTACAGCAACCGGCAAATTAAATATGGTGACATCAGGTGTTTGAGCTGAGCAATATCTGGCAGTGGTTTGGATTTCTTCCGGATTGGATCTTGCAGACACAATAACGCGGGAAGTAGTGTCAGGAAGCCTTTGATTGACACTTGCCACTTACCCCATCTACCACAAACTTTGGAGAAGCCTCCGCCACTGTCCCGCCTCCAGCCGTCGTCTGTGCTTATGGATGACGAGCTGTCAGTCAAAGGCTTCCTGACACTACTTACTGTGTGATCGTGTCTGCAAGGCACAATCAGGAGGAGGCTCAAAGAAAAGGTTTGTCTCCACCCAACCTTTCAAAACACATTTTCCTTTGCATGAGGAGAAAATCAGTCCGAGGGCAGAGACGCTTTCGAGAACGTATTTATTTTATTTATTTATCCTTTATTTATATATAACGTAGCCGACCTCAAGCTTTCGGCCGCTGGATAGAAAACTGTGCCCGCGGCGAGATCCCAAGCACACGTACGAGGAGGAGCTGGCACGTGCGGAGAGCTTTTTTTTTCCTCTCAGAGTGGCAGTTTCTCACGCATGTGTGATTCTATTGTGCAGTGGTAGACAAACCATGCGCAGAAGTAGTTTAACATACATCCATGTGTGTTTATCTTGCTCGTGGGAATTGTGAAATAAATGTGACGCCATAAATTTACATTTGATTTAATATTGTTTGTTTTTGTTTCATTTCCTGTTTGGTTGCTGGGATCTTGTTAAAGGTATAATACTGACATCAAAAGACATAATGTGGCAGTATTATTAGTGAAAAGCTTTGAGCTGGTTAAAATAAAATATTTTAAA